GTGCTCTTGTCCTCAATCAGTACGCGAAGTTGTACGGCCGCACCTCAAGCCTATGTGTACACGCATGCGATGACGTGTCCCACAAGTTGGGTGAAAATTGCTGGCAACGTACTTAGTTTATGGAAAGTACTGCCCTGTAGTAGGTATGCAATAACAGTGTTGAAAAGCTGATAAGTTAAAGTATTATAAGAAGTTTGGTTAAATGGGGCGTATAATCTAAATCCAGGAGTGCAGATAATTTGAATAAGTGGCACTAATTGAATAGGCATGGACCCAGCAACTATAATAAATATTATTAAACAGTGCTCAAGAGATTTTAAAGAGTAATTTAATCCGTTTTCCGAATTGCTTTGTTTTCCAAATAGCAATCCAAAATCCCAGTTTTTCAACAAATGTGGCAATTTATGTCGAAATACGATGACGTGTTTGTTCATAATACAAAGGAGGGCATTGCGAGGGTGCTTAAAGGCGACTATGTCTTCATTATGGAATCCTCATGGAATGAATACTATAATAAACGCGATTGTCGACTCATGCAGATTGGTCGTCTTCTAGATACAAAGGGCTACGGCATTGGCCTTCAACAGGGTCAGTATGAAATTTGCATACCGAAGCATTGTCAATAGCCTACATCTGTTTTATAAGCAACGATTAAATAGATCTAACTGTGTAATACGCTATCTACATTTATGCTTTATCTACATTATATTTAATTAAACATTATATTTTTGTATCAATTACTTATCTGAATAATAATAATAATGCTCATTTTTACTAGTTTAGTAAGGAAATCGTCAAAAATTTATCAAAAACACGAGAAATGAGTAATAGGTATTTTGGAACCTAAATTTCGTTTTAATTGGCCTTTGAAAATCATGAAATTTACTAAAACCTTGTGGAGTCATTAAAACGGAAATAATTTCTTCGGGACCGTTGAAAATAGTTTCAATCAAGATTCTGCCAAATGCAGGTCAACATCACAACTTTATGAAAAGTATTAATTAAGAAACATTATCTGACATTGATTAGTTCTTAATGAAAATCTAATTAAATTTGAAATTCAATTAATAGATTGGCTCATCCTTATGCGTATTAATTTATTTACAGGTTCACCATATCGTGATCCGATTTCAGAATCAATATTAAAACTTCAGAAAGCACAGACCTTGGACCAATTAAAAAGAAAGTGGTGGACGGAGTTCAACATCTCAGAACCATGTACCAATGCCAAAGACAGCAGTAAAGAGGCTAAGCCATTGGGAATTGAACAAGTTGGTGGAGTGTTCGTTCTTTTAATCATCGGTTTTTTCTGGGCTTTTATTGTCTCTGTAATTGAGTTCTGTGTTCACAATAAGGCCTGCACGAAATCCCAGGTGCGCAGAAACTCCACATATTTATTGAGACCAAAAGCTTTAATATTAATATCTAAATTTTGAACTTAGGGTGACCTCTTCGCAGAAATGTGGAAGGAATTGAAATTTGCAATGCGTTGTATGACACCTTCAACAAGAGCCAAACCAACTAGTCCAGTGGTTCATGAATCGGTACCAACTTTGAGTCCTGTGGTGATTGATGGATCAGCAGAAGAAGAACGAATGGTTGATCGTGAACACTTAGATCCAATATCAGTACAGTCACAGAATCTTCTCAATGTTCCAATCACCGACTCCAATGAAGCACTTCTCAGTTCGAGTGGCGATACAAATTCAAGTGGAAGCAGTAGTATGGGGGAATCGTATCCCCCGCCACCACCACCGCAACCCAATTCGTCGACTACCTCACCATGGTCACATTTAAACCAAAATCGAAGAAAGCCACCGTCAGAAGGTGGGAGTTGGTGGCGAATCAGTCAAAGTGCTGTTTGAGAATTATCGGCCTTATTATCTACAAGAAAAGAAGCTCTATATAAAAGCACCCACTCATTTTAACGAAAAGTAAACAATGCGAAACATGTGAACAGTAATAGATTGTAGATTGTTAATAGTACTTTTCATTCTGTTTTTTTCAAGCAGTTTTATGGGACAAATTGGATTACTACTTTGGCTATTCACATGGTCACAATATTAAAATTTTATAAAATATTTGAATCAAATTTCAACCCTTACATCCAAAATATTATTTTATTTGATATTAAATCAATATTTGTTTCAGAAAAGTGCTGTCATTTCTTACAAATTAAAGCGTTAAAATGATTGAATTACATTCGAAAGGCCACATGTTCATCATTTGCAGATATTTGAGGGCAATTTTACCCTGGTTACATAAAGAAGTATAAGTGAAAAATTCCTATGCAACATAGGCAACCTTAATAGAATCACGGTTTGAACACGCAATAGGTTTGCATTTATAAGCACAGATTGTTGAAATTAGACATTGATTATTGGAATTAATCTATATATATCCTATTACAAATAATTGTCAGATTATTATGTCTATTTCATCATCTAATTAACCCAATTGAGCTTTTGAACTCTTTTTTATTTTTAGATCTTGCAATTTTAATACCAAAGCCTTGGTAGACTAACTGTGGTATTATGGTTATTGAACTATAACCCGAAATTACTTTCCCCATACAAAATCAAAAATTGTTAAAGAATTATAAAACAACTAACTAAAATGCTTACAAATTCTTATTTTAAATGCGAAAGTGCAATCGTGAATACATCTAATGAAAATGCAAAAACTCTTTCGAATCAACGTTTGCACAACAGGAACTATAAGTATACTAAACTAATAGCAAGCAATTTGGATTCTTCCATTTCAGTTTCAGAGTGGAGACGGGTACTAACGCTACATTTTAAGTCTATTGTAAAAAATACATTTTACATTCGGATTATGCGCCAAACTAATGCAAGATTTTGCGCTATTGCTAGCATGTCAACACTGGAGGATGCTCAACTTATAATATTTCATTTCAATCGGTTCAGACTTGGAAATCGTCGGATATACATCAATTTCTTTCATTCAGATGATAAGAATTATCAGCATAAACAGAACGTCACTAATCAAATCCAGCCGAAAAATGAAGAAACAATAGTTAAACTCCCTTCCACCATTGTGTATAAAGCCTCACAAAAGAAACTTTTAGATAATAAGGATACATCTCGGAGTCATATAAAGTCTCAAGTGAGTATTTGTTTATACGCTCTTTTTTATTCCAAATTGCATAAGAAAACAATTAATTTATCCGAGGTTTTTCGTTTATAAACGTCAAATTAGTTTTTGCGCCTTTGTACTTATATTTATTAAGTAACACTTAAAATTTTACTTAGAAGTTATGTAGGCCTGAAGAAGCTATTAAAAGTTAATTAACCTTAATTGATATATCTTAACTTGAAGTTCGTAGTTGGGGCATGACTTTTTGAAATAGACCTAAAATTTAAGGGCAAAACATGTAGATACAATAAATTCGAAAAAATATAGTCGTTTATATTCCTTTAAGTAATCCTTACGTTTGTGTGTATAAAAGCCTATTACCGGCCCAACTTACTTTTCCTTCTCATATTAGTACTTTCATCAGATTTTCATTGTATTTTAATCTTTTGATTTCGTTAATTGTTCAAGAAACTTGAATTAACTCGATTACGAACTTGCTCTGTACTTACAACAGCAGCGGTTAAAGCAAGAATTTTACGCATCTTCTCAGTAATTATCACTAAGGTCTTTAGAAATCCTTAAAAGCATATGTTAGCAAGTTATATTACAAATCCAAATTAAAATAGTGTATAACACTTCTTTAAGAAAAGATACGATTAAACATCCAAACGGAACTTATTCATACTTGTCAGACCAAATGGGGCACTTTCTGTAACATATTGAAGACAGAGTACGAAGCACCCTTCCCCCACCCCGCATCTTTTCTAGATCCGTTATGTGAAGTTAGAAGCGTTGTAGACATTTAAATATATATAAAGAGGTTAATTTTGCAGGACATTTCCATATTGAAACACCATTTGGTTTTAATGTAAAAATTAACACAAATAGGAAGATTAGTTAATAGTAAAGTCTAATATCTAAATATTTTCATGCAGGTTTTTAACTATAATTATCAATAGTCAAAATTATATTATTTTTTAAGAATTCAATGAAAATAGAAAATTCAACGTTTCCTGAGCATCATTTAAATGGTAAACAAGAGAATAAACAAGAATGTAATCAGCAAAATTTGCCATCTGTCTACATTACACTTGCCGAACTTCATCAAAATGTTCTAAAACTTCTACAAGAACACAACAATCTTATTCCAATTACAAGTTTCATACAGAGCTATGAGGAATCATTTGGTCCATTTAAGAAAGAAAACTGTGACAATCCAAGAGAAGAAGATGATCGTGATTACAATTATGTTCCTCTGGAATACCTCATAGCATCTATTCCAGGTGTAACCATTGAAAGTCCCATGAATGGAAATCGAGTAGTTAAACTTTCTGTCGATCCACCGAAAGGTAGGTTTCAGTGAATATGCATTTGAACTCTCTACTCTAGCATTAAACAACATTATCACTGGTACATAGCCGCTTATGGAGTAGAATATTCAGTGGTAAGCAGATTCGTTGCAGGCTATGTCATCCAGAGTATTAATGATGTGAAACATGCACAAATTTGATGAGGGTTTTTGCTGAGTAGCAATATCAATTGAGAAGCTGATGACAAAGGAGCCAGAGAGTTACTGTGACACTTGTGTGGATTCAGAATGGTATGATTTTGGAAGAAAATAAAGAAGATGTAACTACCATTGTTCGTTGGATAATAGGAGGTAGAATTTTCTCAATGAGCTGACGTTGTGGAGGGTTAATTGTTTGGGTCTACTAAAGCTACTAAAACACTGAGAAGTCTAAGACTTCGAAAGGGAAACAAAAAGTCGATATAGAAATATTTCTACAAAAAAGTGCAACTTTGTGAGAGGGACTTATTTAAAATGAAAATAAATAAATGAAGGAAGGAAGGAAGTGGAATGAAGGGCTTTTAATAAACCTTGAAGCTGAATCAGCACTGCGAGTTGACAGGCCTCGATGTAGAGTAAGGTGCATGTTAAGTTATTGTGATGGCAACAGTCGTTCAAATCCAAATGGGAACTTGAGATAAATTTTAGCTCAACGATCAATGACTCTCACCCTCCTCATCATTTTCATTTGTCTTGAGTAAGGTGTGTACCTGGCTGAATGAGTTTCAAATGACACAACAAGGTATGAAATGGAACACCATTTGAAATATCCCATATTCGATAAACTTCTTACTTTGATGGTTGCTATTCAATTCAGGTCGCCCACAAGTTTATTAATAGCAAATTTCGAATTTGACTTCTTTTTGTAGATAATACAGATTACTATTATGGATATCAATAAACAAATCAAGGAAAAGTTATACTTTTATTTTCAAATATTTTCCATTATCGACTCCGTCCGCGCTCACAAATACTCTTGGCATAGACCCATTAAACTTATAATGCATAAGCATTTAACATTACATTAATTTCATATATAAAGTATCTGGACCCATAAAATAAAATAAAATTCTAACATCAGTGGACCTTACCAAATCGGAATTCCGACAGCCTGGATTCGACCTGTGAATTGATTGCGCTTAATTTGATCTTTAAAATCTACTATTAAGCTACATTAGTTGACATAGCTGAGGTAATATCCGTCATGGCATCTCACAAAAGATGATTAAATACTAAACGATACTGATTAGGTTACACTTGACATAAGAGAGCTCATACTCAGAACCCTATCTCTCTGAAGCTATCTATCACACCATGAGATCATTATTAATGTTTCGACAGCCGGAATTAAATGGAAACTGACTATTATTATTGGTTTAGCATCATTGTCATTTGTATTACAGAAGATGCAAATGGTACCTCTTCAAATGAGGCTATGCGTCAATTAAGACATGAAGTTGTCGATTTGGTAAAACAACAGCCCACTTTTTGTCTGCTCCTCTCGAACTTCATTCCAATGTATCAGTCGCGCTTCAATAAACAATTTCGAGTTTCCACTTACGGCTATAGTCGTCTTGAGGATCTTTTTGAATCCTTGAAGAATGTTGTGCATATTGTGGGCCAGGGTGCCCATCGAACAATTATGTTAACCCATTTAACTCAGGTGCGGAGATTCACTCATGAACTACTTCGCATACTCAAGACGCAGCAGAGAAAATGTCTTCGCACTGATGAAATTCCGAAAATCTACAAAGCTGTTTATAATAAGGTCAGTTAAAGACATATAATTCTCTGCTTTTTAAGTAAAAACAAGGTGTATGTAGTTGAAAGGCATGATGGTCACTTCGATTTAAGCAAAATGTATTTGATTAAACAATTGACCGGTCATTTACATTTCGCCCTTAAGCTGGGAATAATTAGAATGTATGCGTTAGTATATAGGAGATCAGAGCATGAAATTGGCAAATTTTATCTTAAAACTTTGTGTCAACAATAATTTCCTACTTTATTGACGGAAACAAAACGCGAGAAATTTCTAAAGATTCAACAAAAGAATAATGGCATTTCGCGGTCAAGGGATAGAGAATTAGTCGAGATATTTGAAATGAGTATTGATTTATTCGAACTAACCGCTTATATACATTTTACGGGAATTGATTTAATGCAAGTATGAACCCACCCTAAAATCCTACAATTTGCATGCATATGGCTGGTGGTCTGTGTTCTCATAGACTCGTAGGCGTTTTCTTCTTCACAAGGTGTAAATAAACCATCCTATTACCAATTTTCTACAGCTAGTCGGTGTACCACCATCTAGTTACCTAAGAGGTACTTATTTGTGATAAATGTCAGGCTTTATGATAGTTATCATTAACCATTCAGTTGACTTAGAGCTTCACGGTGGGGAGGAGCATCAAAGTCACAAAAGTCGAGAGGGGTGACAGAAGAGTGATTGGCAGACGTAAAAGTGGCAGACACAAAGGTAGAGAAAAAGCTAAGGTGAGTACTATGGAAGTAGTCGAATGTGACATGCAGTGGAGTGATGGTAGTTTGAAGTCAGAAGTTAACTGGTGGCTTATAGACTTTTTTGCAGTATGAGTATACATTGCACAGGGTGCTCCATGAGGGGGTAAGTCTATCGCGCACTTTTACCTAAGAAGTATCAATATTCGAATCATTCTTTAATCATTTTTAATAATAAACTTTGTTTTGCTGCCCTATTCCAAGCAAAAGTTGTGTTCTTTTAGATACGCTGGTTTTTTTAAGCTTTTCAAATAAGATAATATGGCCTGCCACATGTTTAATAGACTAGAGCAATCAGTGCCTTTCGTTATTCCAAGCAATGTGACTTAGCTTACTTTACGTTGAATATCAGTAGTGTAGTGGCAGAAAAATAGACAAGCGGAAACCATCCTTTTTGCCTATATTCAGTTATCAGTCTAAGAAGTTGCTGCGATTATATACATTGTTTTAAAGTCATTAGCTGATTTTTGGGCATATAATCTTGTCAATTTTTTTTACAAGGAACTACAACTGTCAAATTATGGTGTCTGTACCATTAACGATCTTCTAAATGACATACCAGAGAATAAGCTGATAATTAAGAACATCAAGGACGTGGGCGATTCAGCTCTTGAATCCTCCTTTGTGATGATTCCTCAACGTATACAAACCGAGGAACAAAAAATTCGAACCAACCTCTTTGCCTTGGAAGCCATCGACATTCTCTCAACTTCCCAAAACTTTCGGATCCCCTTTACAAAATTTATTCCAGCCTACCACCACACATTCAATCGACAATGTCGGGTTGCTGATTATGGATTCACAAAATTCATAGAGCTTTTGGAAGCTATATCACAAACGGTAGAGGTAGGCTTTAAATAAAAATTAACATGTTCTCTTTTCTTTTTTTGATGAATAATCGAAAAAAATGCCATTATTTTTTTGCGTTTCTATTCATTTAAGCAACAAATAAACCTAAAACAAAAATCTTGAAAATTTGTGAACATAAGGGCAAACTAATGATTTGCAATAAAAAGGCACTTGAAAGTCAATAAAAAATTAATAACGATAGTATTTGAGGTAGATTCGGCTTCTGAAATACATTATCAGGAGGATCCCACTACGTATACAGGTAACGAGCGGAAAAACCAGGCCCGGTAGGTCTTTAGGGCAAACAAACTTATTTAGGTCCGAATCTCACTAACAAACTGAGCCATAATTTTAAAACCTAAAAATAAGAAACTTAACTCATCTTTTATGGGTTTGGCGTGGTCTCTTGAATTGCTGAGTTTTTGTATCCCGTCTTCAATGTAGAACACGGCTATAACCACGCCACTTCATAGTGTTAAGCCTAATTTTGTCTACACTGCTTTTAAGGTGCTTGTGGAAAATGGAGAACGATATATAAATCTGACACTTCCACTACGACTGACTCTTATTCGTCAGATGCTCCTTGAAGTTCTACAATCTCAGTCGGGCCATCGAATATTATTGAATGATCTTGTCACAGCATTCTACGCCAAATATCAACTGACCCTCCTTCCTCAAGACTGCGGTTTCGGAACCCTGGAGGAGATGCTTTCATCTTTTTCAGATATTTTAGTTCTTAGTAAAGTGAAGCAACAAAGAATCGACAATGAGTCAACTTTAAAGGAGTCCATAGCAGACGATTTCTCGTTCGAAGTAGCTGAACCCGAAAAATCGAACTCTGAATTCAACAAGACATTGATTATACTCGTAGACCGAAGTGATGCTAAACAGACTGCATATCGATGTCTAAAGTTACTTCTAAACTCCCCTTTTGGATGGATTCCTGAGAATGAATTTAGAGACAGCTTCAGAGCTCATTTCAATGAAGAAATTGACCTGGAATTCATTAACCGAGAAATGAGTCCTTTTATTTTGGTGAATTCAAATGCATTAGCCTATTACCAAACTCAGTATTACCCCAAATACAATAGCGAAAATTCTTTTAAACTTTCAGGTGAGAGACTGCGCAACTCAGAGTACCTTTAGAACAGATACGGAAATAAATCCACAATCTCCGAGAATTGTTCAGCCATGTCCCCTGATTCTACTTGCTCAACAAATCCGATTTGTTTTAACGAACGTTCGTGGCAGGTTACTGATAAATTTCTTGGAAGAGATGTACAGAAGTAACTTTGGAGTCGATCTTTATCCTGAAGTATATGGTTATCCTTCCATTATCACTCTGATAAATGCTTTGAGGTTTGCTGTTGCAACAAGGGGCCGTGGATCAAGAACTACTATCCTCTTAGCTCCAAATTTTTTAGGCAAGCTACCACTTATCAATTTTGTCATGGTAACCAACCCACAATATCTTATGTTTATTATTCCCTCTTTCCAGGAAAATTAGCGTGGATGGTCGCTTATAAGATGCTCTTCCGACATAATTTAATCGCGCAATTCCAAAGCGAGCAAACAGATATTTTAAAACCTTTGGGTAGTCCTCCAAATATTTGCCTACAGCCGGTAGGGAACATGTTACCTTGGAGCTACCCACTTAATCCTGAATCTCAGCCCGTGGACCCTCCCAATCATTTTCCACCCTTATTTCCAGGATCGGTATATACTGGACAAGGATTAAACTACCTTAATTTACCACCTATTGACTATGTAGATCAAATGTATTCAAACAATTTTCCCTTCTACCAAGAACGAGGAATGGCGATAGTGTCTCCTTACACATACCCGATGGCAACCGCGTTAAACCAAACACAAGCCTCATACGAGTATTCGCAAATATATCACATGCATTCACCGATCAATATGAACTTAATAAATCAAAATCAACTGATAAATAGGAATGCCGAAGTATTAGAAATTAAACATGATCCAGTAAGTTTAAGTGAAGAGGCATTCAAATCTGGATCAGCTTATACACCCTGGATAACACAGGAAGGAAAATTTATTTTGACTCATGATTGTCAAAACCTGATCTTGCAGAAAGAACAGATAACATATCCTCAAGAAGAGACGTTCAATTCGCCCTTACAGTGGCCACTCTTTCATCCAAACACAAATACTCATCCAGCAATTGATCCTCAGGCCACGATATTAAATAGCGGAGTTTATGCAGAAAATTCGTTCGGGTTTGCATCGACACCCTGTATAATGAACGAAGCTAATAACTACACCCCAATGACAAATAAATGTGATGAAGGAGATTGGACACTTCCAATAAGTATGACGACAGAATCGATAAATGACACGAATACTAAAGAAAACGATATAACGGAAAATATTGAGTAAAATAACTTTATTTCATTTCCTCCTTAATTTATATACTTAGAGAAACAATAAACATTTAATGTGTAAAACTGGCCGCTCAAATACACATGAAAGCAATAATCGGACTTGCAATTGCGTTTAAATGTCAATGGGCATTGTTCAATAGCTAGATCATAGGGGAATCTTATGTACCTTTAAATGCTCGTATAATTGAAACAACGTTACCAAAAACTGTCGATACGTAATAAAAATATAGACAAAGATAGAATACAGCCGAATCCGAATAAAATATGCAAAAATGAAAAACTCACGAGTACACATGGCAATCTATGAACAATTATATTGGATAAGCATTAATGAGAGAAATGGGAATAGAATATGTGCACATTTCAAATTAGTGAATAAATGCTAAAAACAACTGCCAATAGTTCATGAACAGAACAATTTAACATAATACAACAAATCCTTGAGTATGCATGAAAAAGCTTTGAGTTGTTCAACGTAACACATATAACAGCAGAGGTTGAAAGAATTCGAAGACAAATATGGGACTCGATATTTCTGCCGAAAATGGAACGGATTTCGCCGATAAGGTCCGACAAACTTGAGGTAATAAGATAGAGAAAATCATTAACCATTTGGTGATCAATCCTTTCCGAAACGAGATCACTGAGCTTTACAAGGTATTCAACCGGTATGAGGAAATCAAAACACAACAAGTCGTCCTGTAATTTCCAAAAGACGTAAACTTCTGATTTGACAATATGTTCGATGTCCGTCTCGATAAGAAGCTTTTTAAATATCTTAAGAATGGCAGATGTTTTAAGAATTTTTCGTCGATCAACGAGTTTGGTGGCGATTTGTATAACTGAATACAAATGCATTATAAAATCCTTCTTCTTACGAATAAGCGTTTGTTTTATCTGACTAGAATCAACATTGGAACAGTTTTTAAAAACGTATTGAAGTTCGTAAAACAGATAGCGGTCGTAAAGAATTAACGATATAAAGTACACAGGATCGGGAGCTTTGAGTTTATTGCAGATGCTGAAAATATAATTGCAGGAATAGTAGGTGCTGAATCTCCCTATTTTGTCTGCATAGTTTTCGTTATTACACCCAGAAGAACGCTTTGTACAGTTTAGCCAATTCCATAACGGCTCAATATCCATACGGACATCGCTAAATCGAGGCTGAGCGACAACAAATAATTGACTTAGGAATGACGCGCTAGTACAGCAGACTTTTAAAAGACATCGCTATTCTTTAATATAATAAAAAAATTAAAATATCAGGTTTATTTTAATTCAATATTTTTTGTTTTAGAATGTTGTCAGATATATATTTATGAACTTTATATTCAACATTTTAAGCTGAAAGGCCGCCTCTTATACATTTAAGAAGCTCTCAAGCATCAACATTTTTAAACGCATTTAGGTTGTCATTTCTGTCTAAATTAATCAATGACACAATTTTAGTTACAGTCAATTTATTTTGAATAAGTCATTTCCCCTCATTTTTTTGGTTAAGCAACTTTGCATTGTGCTGTGTCAAACTTTATAGAGACCTATCATCGACGCCTATTTAAATTAAGGACCTCTTCAATTTCCAATGTTTCATTTTGAGTTATCATCGATCAAATATATAATCGACAATATACTAACGAGTATATGAGCCCTAAAAGAGGTTACTTATGAATTTTAAAAAGGTTTCATAAAAATCTTTCCTCTAAAATAAAACTAATATTTTTGAGCACTTTACTCTTCATTAAATAAGATATTTATTCTACCCACAACAAACTTGCACAAAGTTGCATAGCTTAACAATAGGCAACAATTCGCGATCTTGAATTCCTTACAGAATATAATATCAATAACTTTGTACCAAGAAGCAATCGTTCATATAACTTTTTCATTCTTGGAATTCTAGTTTTTCCGGCATGAATATGGTGCTGACTAGATATTATCAGGCTATTGTTGACCCACACACTGAGTATGAGAAAGGTAAGATTGAAGCTTGTCTACTCAATGGCACTTTATATATTCAAATTGGCTTTTAATTCGAATACAAGTCATATTTTTATGGTCAATATTCCGATACCTGAGTCAATAATTGGTGGTGCATTGAATAATTCCTGATCTTTTAGGATTAGCGTGTGCCAGTATATTGGTGCGGATGATATGTAACCTTTAGGAAACCTCACGGACTTCTTATCCTTGGACAGAACAAATCTTTTGATTTGAGCTATGCTTGCCTACTTTCTAACATCACGATTAGTAAGGTAAAATAAAATTGAAAGTTTGAAGCTTCTATCTCCGAAGTGTTACCTTTTAGTCTGATTTAAAAATACAAGAAAAGAACTTAGAATTCCTAGGGGCTATCGAAGGATTTCTGTTCATTTATATACATTTATTTGAGTGAAATGCATATAAGTAATCGTTAGTTATATAAATGATTTGTTATATTTATATAAGTATGCCTTACTTAGATTAACCTAATACTGTTATGGTTATAAAAAATAAGGCATTTAGGATAGTCCATTTATGTTTTCCGCCTTTTTATAAATAGTGCGAAGAACTTAATTAAAATAAGCAATGGTAAAATCGCCCGGTGAGTAGTGTACATACTTTTCCGATGGGTGAGGTGTTCTACGACTTGCGCATGTTTGTTGAATCATTTTTGTTGTTATATCTTCTATCATAGAGCATGATTACCATTGATGAGTTCTTTGCCAATTACAATAATTTGTCCTGAGCTTTCATTTGTGAATGGAAAGAGTGTGGTCAGTTGGAGCCAAACTTGGTCTGTTTCAAAGTAGAAACAAAGGAAGACTTTTATTGACTTCATGCTAAAATGGCTTTCGGATGTCTTTGCGTTTGGTTTTGGTTGCTCTAAAAATTGGAGGAAGCATTGAATTTTAGTTTTTCCGTTGTTTATGTTTTTGTGCGTCTTATCCTTGAGAATTTTTTCCGCCCCCTAGTATTATAGACCAAAATCTAATGGTACAATTTTAGCGTTAAACTAGTACGATGTACTAACTATAGCAAGTATTCGATAGTTTTAACTCAAGAATAAGCATATTTAGCTTTATTTAAGTTTATTATACTATTTTACCTATTTCCAGATGAAACTGAATCGAATTTAAACGAAAGTACAAATCTAGATGACAAGTGTAGAATGAATATGATTGAACCTGATAATTTAAAGGTAAACACCATTGAATTCGAATAAAATTTAAAGAGTGTAATATAGCATTTAGGTAGTGCTTGATAAAGGTGAAAAAAGTACATCTCATGTGATCTCATGCGTATACAATCAATAACCAATCAGAGGCCAACGTTTGTTTAAGCGAATCCCCCCATGTTGATTATACCTAACTATACAGCATATACGCGTTGGGGATCTTGATGAGCATATTCCCGCAATAAGTGCAGATACGAGAATGGCAAATTTATTTATTTCAAGCAGAAAATGTTTCTAATAAACATGAAGCTTTTTGAATTTCTATTGTCTTTTTTATTTACTAAGCACAAAATCTTTCAGTTGCATTTAAAAATATTCTATTTCGCATGAAAAACTCTGGATGTTAATTTAATTAATCTTTGTAAAACCGTCTTCCCCCATGCCTCTTATTAGCAACTATCGATTTTTGATCAGGAAATATAATTATTTTCAAAGAACGTCTAGTGAAATGCATTCGCGTCTCTTTTTAAATTTTTGATTTATTTATTGGTATTTTGACTCGCTCAATATAGTCTTTTAACTAGTATTGTTTCAAGTGCCTTTTTTGGAGTATTTCGTTTACCTTGTCGAATACCACTTAATATAGATAAATCCATAGGGTTGTCATCAAAAGTGATATTGTCAAAGTTACAAAGAAGGTGAAAAATCAACCATCTCGTGCCTATCAGAAATAGTAGTGGTTTTTTATTAGGGCGGAATAGTAAGCAGGCAGCCACCTTTTACCTACCTCACTGAAATCCTTGATTTGCGTCGACTATTGTGACTAAAACAAAAAAAAACAGTGTTAATTTTAAAAATTTAAAATTTCCTAATTTATAATCCTATGGAAATAAATGATTTTTTAATTTCTGAGGTAAATCTAGATGAAATCATGTATGTTTCGACCTTAGCCAAAAGTAAAGTAGAGATTAACCTTGTTGTGCCATACGTGGTTGGCGTTAATAAATGGAAAACCTAATAACAGCTATTCGAAGGGCCCGAGGTAAATTAGTTGTCGATTGCGCTAATTAAAGTGTAGATAATGGTTCACTCGTTGTATCGACGCTCGAGGGAAATGAGGAGGTATTGAATAAAAACATTTCATCTCTGGATCAATTTGTTAGTCGTTGTGAGACAAATTTCTGGACCTGTGTTCAAGCAGCTGTCATGTAAAGTACATAATTAATTTTATCTTTTAGTCTAGCCAAATTGACAACATCTTCGACAGCAGAACCCCAACTGTGTTCGGAAATTCAGACTTTTTTTGAAGGCGCTAATACTGATCACCTTCAATTATCGAAAAGAACAAGTACATAGTATAAACAAATAACTTTTCCATAGTTAGACGAGTTTGTAACCTATTGACGAAGAAACTAATTTCACAGTCTTCTGCAATTCGTGGTCTTCATATTCTGCGAACCGCTCTCAGTCAAATGCAAAATAGTTCAAAGCATCTAACGAGCTTACATGTCAATATTTGTCAGCTTGCAATTTCTGCAAAATTTTTCAGTCCTGTGATTCCAATCTTAAATGAGGATGTTCTTGATGTTGACACAAATGTTTGTTCCTTTAGTTTAAATCTTAACTTTTTTGTTCTAGAAAAAAGCCTACTGCATTCAAGATACTCTCTTGTATTTCTATTATGGCGGTATGGTATACGCAGCAGTTAAAATGTGGGATCGGAGTTACAATTTCTTCAGTTTAGTATGCTTGATTCCTGTTTTATATTTATGCACAAAATTGTAGGCCTGTTCGTTACCTAATTCGTGGTTTTCCCCTGTCGCATATTCGGCTGCTAAAAAACTCATTCTCGTTTCTCTTATTTACAAAGGAGAGGTTGGTAGAACCATTTTTAATTGTTCATTTCTCTTTTTTCTCAGCATATTCTTGTTTCCAATTTAGTTCAATCGGACAGATTGTAAGGTCTTTAGCAAAATCAAAGTATGTTCTCAATTGGACATTTGTGCTTGTAATATTTTTATTCATTGATTTACAGGTTTTGTTCCTTTTTCTGTTCTAGGAGCAACTCGATCCATACACACGCTTAGAAGTCGCCTTTGCCTCGCAAGATACATCTTCTCTTCAATCGCTTGTTGAAGACAATCGAACTACTTTTGAACAGGTATTATTGATAATTTCGCTGAATTAATTCCTCTACTCTTTGTTAAGGATAAAAATCTCGGACTGGTAAAGCAACTGATTGACCGTCACATTAAATGCAGGATACAAAGCTTAACTGAAGTTGGTTTCTATCACTCTATGACATTTTTAGACTTATTTTTCACTATCGATAAATGATTTTGTTACCTTGGCTGGATTTGATTCGCCTACCACCGCTGAACAAAAAATAATTGAACTGGTAGATTTCAAATATTAGATTGATATGTTGTGTTTTTTAGGCTGCTTCAGAATCCATATTTGTTAAAATTGATCATAAATCGGGTTGTGTTCGCTTTCTTGATAATTCGGAACGCTATGAATCCCCTGAAATGCTGGCAACACTTATCCAAAAAGTAAGATTCTGATTTATTGAAAAAATGGTACTTGACTCCCCTGACGACAGATTGTGTTTATTTTATTCAATTCTCCCTTAGATGAGAGATACAATGAATTACGATAGGCTTTTGAGGCAAATTAACTCTGAAGAGCAATCCCGAAGTCCAAATACTGAAAGCGTGAGTTTAGTTCGAGACTTTTCATACTAGTTTCCAATTCCAACGCACTCCTTTTTTCCTTAGTCTCCTGGATCTTCGCTCACCACAAGGAGGAGGCCCGCTGTGCATTGAATTTTAATAGACATCGTTTGTTTTTCATTCTCACCATTTAAAATAAATTGGCTCTATATTTTCATCTTTTTTGTTTTTCCTTTTTTCATTTTATTCACATAAGTACTTGTGTACTTAACTACTAGACTTGATTTTGCTATTCCTTGCTCTCAGTTCATCTATGGAAATTAAATATCGACGCGACATTACCGCTCCTTATTTATCCTATACTTGCGTATAGCAGAAAATAAAATCGATAATTATATTACCATCTAATTGGCGTTCGATTTTATCACTCTTTGACTTGAGTTAAATGGAACTTTGTTACGTTTGGATCTGCAAATAATGCTGACAGACGAAGACGTTAAAAACAAGCAGGTAAGAAATGCATCTGTAATACTTTGGATATCTAATTTTGTATTTTCGCAAATATGTATGCCTGCGCAATGGTCCTATTAGTTTTTCATTGAAATTAATGATGAAATGAGCGTGTTCTCGTCTTTTAAATTCATTTGTCAAATTATAAATCTTACAGAAACTTAAGAAACTAATGGATATCTTTTCTATCTCATTATGTAATGGTATTAGAAATGAATATATATACTTACTGGCTTTCTATTGTGTTTAAATTTATTAGGTAGAAAAGCAAATATAACTATGTACGTTTTTTCTTTTATCTACCTATTGGCAGAAATCAGTTACTTTTGGATAGGACATTTGTAGAACTTAATCACTTAGTTCACATAGGTAGCTTTTGAGCAGGGTGGAACAGGGAATACAAATTTTTGAATATATTCATCGCGCGCGAGGTACAGTCAGTTAGTATTCGGGGTTAATTGAGGGTAAACGGTTGGAAGTACGAATTTGTCTGCTAGGTAGATTGATATGGCCTTCAAGTTGTAAAATATAGTTTCCACGCTCATTTACCTAGCTTTTGCAATATTTCATAAACTTCATCAAAGCTGGTTTATCAGTCCCATCATTTCTATATGTCTACCTCTTCCAATACCCTAAGCACAGCTAGTTGATGCTAGCTAAGCAACTATCAGGAATAATGTTCCCGATGGTAAGCTTTCGGATTCAAATAAGATCATTTGAGAAAGCAGTAATGAATGCTATTTAGTTGATTGGTTAAGTCATCTGAAAGAACAAGCAAAAACATTGAACATTAAATTTTAGTACATCGTTTGCACATATGTAAATATGTGTAACAGATGAAACGTAAAAGCCACACCCGAAAAATGCATTCTTGCAATTCTTACTAATCGTTTGTCACAAGCTTTATACGAAATCTAGCTTTTCGACATCTGGTTTGAAGCATTTCATAGATTTCCCTTTAATGCAGCTTCTTGATTAGTCCCTTATATCTAGGTATCATTGATCTAGTCAATATTCAAAAAAGCAAATGTCATAGTATGTTATCAATTTCAGTGTTAAGTCATATGGTACAATTGCTCAGACCTAGATCGAGACTTAACCAGACAAGGCTACTCCGGTTTTATTTACACATTTAGTATTTAGTTTGCCCGAGTGATGATTGGTTGGAGAAGGTTGAAGGAAACGTCATTAGGCACTAAGCAATGTTTCAAACTATTATTCAGACAACAGAACCAAATTGTGAGTGGTGGTTGACCTAGTCACCCTATAACCTCCCATAGCATTGCCATAGAGTACTATAGTAGTGGGAAGTACCTACGCTTCCGGTGTACGACAGAGTGTGCCTTCGCCTTCTTACCAATACAAAACTATTCTTAATGTTTACATGGAGTTTAACTGGACATTTTTTCCCATGTTAGTTATTGAAATTCATACCAATAATCGATTTGGGTATACTACTAACTCTCTTAGAAAAATGCCCCTTCTGCCACCTTTAATTTCGAAATGAATTAATTAGTGGGACTAATCATCCGTATCACGTTAACCATGGCATTACTGGGCCTAACCTTTCTCTATTTCCAAGTGGTTTTGTGTTGTTCTAGTTAAAACGACGTAATTTATGATGCACCAAAAAGATAATTATTTCCACCAACATAACGAATAAGTTCAAAACGTTTTATAAAGAGCTAATGACTTAGATTGTTCATAGGGTTGACCCACGGCTCTCTATAAAATACATACAAACCCTCTTGCCTACCCAATTAATTATCACAATCAGATTGGTTAATGGAGAAGCTATTTCAGGGTGTTAGTTGCTTGTGTCTTTGCGCCAACTCAATAAACAGACGGTTATATAGTGTATAAGCAGTACACAAAATTGCGGCAGTTAAGTGTTTCCATCCACACTCATCGAAGTTGACGAGAAATTAAAGGACCTAAATTGTACTTAAGTTCAATGCTTGGCTCTCGTCATCGGATCTAAGGTTCCTCTGTTGTGGTTACTCCACACTCTCCCTATCACTCACTCAATCATCAAATTCTTTATTAACCTAATATTCTGTAAATTAAAATTTAATTGGCCAGATTCCTCTTCCAGCCGTCGCACTTCTACTAATATACGATTCGAGTTCATGCAAATCTCACGGACATTTCACAAGATAAAGCCGCTTTCGATAGTTCATCTTGCACTGGCTTCTAAAACTATACTTTGATAAAGAAGGATATTTGTATAGAAATATTTCAAGTCGTGGACATAACTGAGTTAGTAACAGTGTAAGTGCAATTGAATGAGTGACAAAGCACAGGAGAAAACAATCATAAATTTTTATAAACTATTACTTTTTCTTATAAGGATATGAAAGTTAACAAATTAGTTTCCCCTAAAATTACTGTACTTTTAAATAGGAGCGGATGCGCGAACTTCGAGAGAACCGTCGGGCGCAAATTGACGATAGTCACATGTACATCCTAACTCGGTTAGAGGAAGAATTTGGCGTATCACCTCAAACGGCTTCCGAGTGGCTTCTTGATGTGGGTCAACTCGAAGCAATAGACGACTTTCTAGAACCCAACAACGCTAAAGTTCTGATGGTCACCTACACAGATCAGAATTTAAATATTCAGAGCCTTGCTAGTAAGAGTTGAATATAGTTGAATATTTGACCTTTATTCATTCTTTGCTACATGAGGACTTTTTGCATACTTGCAGAAGAAGCTTTCAAAATTCAGAAGAAATTGTTTCGTGGAACCAAGAGATACCTTTTCCATAATGGTCAGCTTCCATTTAAGACCGAAACCTTCGTATTCATGCGCGTATCTTTCGATGGCCTTCTGAATAGCAATAATATCAGCTCAGTGAGATATTGGCATAATGATTAAGCACCACTGCAGTTAATATGAACCTAATTTGAACACATTTACTGCTTTCAGGAAACGTTCACTTGCAAACTTGATCCAAAAGCTGGTTTCTTGATCCCCATGTTTGACTATCTCAGGAAATTTATCTATCCTGGCGTTGAAGTTCAGGCGTCTAATCTTCAACAGCTAACCCCCAAACAGCACGCGGACTTCTGTGACTATCTGAAAAAATATTTGAAAAGTCTTCAAAGTAGGGCAACTCAAATATATGTATATATGCGCTTATCATATTTGTCTAACCCTATCTGGTGTGACATTGGCTTGCGACCAAACCAATGACCTTATTGTGATCCCAGCTCATCTTTCCCATTAGTTCCCTCTGTGTGCAGGGTGTACTTCAGTTTGATCAAGAAGGGTTGTGGGTTTTACAGTGGGAATATAAGCCTGTTTTAAAAGACTGGCTTTTAAATTTCAATCCACCTACCGACTGTGGACGATGTCCATTTTTACTAGCAACAAGTTGTCAGAAGTAGCACTGATAAGGATATAAAATGATTTTGAGACTGCCTGCAGGAAGTGCTCTTTGCAGAACAGAGCATAAGCTCCCTGATCCTAAACTATGTTATCAGCGTCCTGTCTACTCACTGTCATTGCTAGTCTCTAACTCATTATTGTTTTTATTTGTTTCACAAGTATCACAATGAAAATGACCTCTAAATATTATTCCTTAGCCATCATTGATTGTTCCCAAGAGCGAATTTCGCTCCCACCAAATACACTACACGATCAAGCCAATTCAGAAGACACAGAAGGTCTCATAGAATTGTCAAAGACCCCTGAGGGTCTTGGTCACCTTGAGGAGAATGCCAGCGCTTGGATGAAAAAGATATACGCAGTAAATTTCTTTAATGCTTTCCTTGACTAAATTCTAAACAGGAAGTGAAAGCCACAGAACTACTTCACGTTCAAACTGCAAACACTGGTCCTGAAAGTGAATTCAACTTCTGGAAGCGTCAGATGACTCGAATTAATTCTTTGGTAGAGGAATTAAACCGACCGGATATCAGGAAAGTGATTGCAGTTCTTGAACAAGCGAATTCCAATATTATTCCAGCAAGTTGCAATTGTCAAAATTAGATTCGCATCTTCCAGCTATGATTTTAAAATTATTTCTCTCCTCTAGGCCTGGAAGGAACTAGATACGAAATTGAAGCATGCTAATGCTGAAGCAACCGGAAATGTGCAATACCTTCATACAATTGAGAACTTGTGTGCACCACTATGGACAACTGATATTGTAAAATATATGATTTTCTAATGCTAATGGTTTGTAAAAATCGTCATAATTTTAGAAAACTATGATATCCTGGATGCCGAATTTAATGAAGTCACTTAAACTGCTCTTTCAATGTTCTCCCTTTTATAACACACATTCACATATTACTGTTCTACTGGTCAAGGTAATGAACCAAAAATTCTAAAATAATTGAATTTTAAAGTAAATATCATGCTTAAAAATCACTGTTGCTCGATTGATGCGCCAATTTATTTAATGTGAAACATATACAATGTGTAGGGAGACTAATTCCACTTATGGTGAAAACAATCAATACATCTCTAACTTATAGATAACCAATCAGATAATTGCAACTTGCAAGCAACTACTGACAGAAAACGGGACAAAATCAATATGGGAACAGGATAGTGACGAGATGATATCACGAATGACTGATTGCATTGAAGTCAACCGAGCCTATCAGGCAGCCTATCAGACGACTCGGAAAGGGATGATTGATTCCAATGAGAAGCGGATATTCAACTTTTCCGAAGTCCAAACTTTTGGGAATTTGAATCTCTTTACCCAACGTCTAGATTACCTGATCAGAGTGCTCAAAACTCTCAAGCAATATTCAGTACTTCACGAATTTGTTCTCGAAGGTTGGTGAAACCTCAATATTAGTAAAGTTACAAATAGATTGTAGCAATATAATTTTGTTGTAAATAATACAAAGATTATGAGTTTAAGTAAGTCATAACTTATTCTGAATTCTATCGACTGAATTGAATTCTTCGAGCATTTGGATAATAAATGCGCCGTAAGCTTGCTACTAATTGGAGATATGTAAAGTTCTTGTTAGTTATTTCCATTGTGCACAGAAGGCGCAGCTGTTAAAATGTGAATCTGCGAAGTTGAAATTCAGCCGTTAGACGCTCATCCGATGAGCTCAAAACGGCACCTTTGATACTTGTATTTCGATTGCCAAAGCATCTCGTAGGTGTTGTCTATGTTCATCTGTAATCCTCATCACTATTAGCAAGTATGCGTGCTCACCCTACCATTGACAGCTTGACATTGAAACGATTAATGAAAAAGGGACTTAAGCTTCATAACTCTCGAAGTGATTTAACCCACATCAGTCAAGTACCATATCAATCCTCATTTTATCTATCTAGCCACCTCAATATGAACTTAAATGTCAGTAACTGGGTTGAATTTAATTCAGCCAAGTGTCATTCTTTAATTTCAATAGGCAAGGAGCCGATGATAGCCAAGCTGGATCGTTTAAAATCATCCATCATCTCCAAACCATACGACTACCTTGATCATCGAAATTCTAAGTTTGAAGCCGATTATGACGACTTTAAGGAAAAAGTTGCAGAAATTCACGTAAGTTCAACTAACTGAAAATGCACTCTTAAACCTTCAATAAATAATATGATCAGTAATCACTTCTCTAACTAGGAAATGCTCCTTAATATAATCAGCGCCAATTTCGCCAAACCAAATAGTTTAATGAATGCGGTTCGCTTGCAAGAACGCCTAGAAACTCTTAATATTCCCAATCTCGAGCATGAAACTCGTTATCTTCAAATATGCGAGAAATTAATGCAAGAAATAGCTAGTGTGACAAAACAATTCGAGTCGAATTACGTGAATCCGCCATTGGCTCGCAATATGCCATACTTTGCTGGTAGAATTGCTTGGGCCAGAAATTTGTACCGAAGGCTTGAGGAGCCTATGGATGCTATCTGTACTAAGGTACCCAAATTACTTGCAACCAAAGAAGGTCAAGAACTTGTATCCGCTTACAACATGGCATCAGCAAAGATAGTTGGTTATGAGATTTCTGCCTATTCAACGTGGACTAAATTGGTAGGATTCCACCTTTATTAATTAATCTTATTTTGGATTACTAATCGTTATCCGTACACTTTGCAGGTTCTCAGAAATTTGAATGGCCTTTCAGCTTCTCTAATTGTTTTCAATAATCAGCCATCGCCGTTTGGACGATTTATCGTTAATTTGGACCCAGATATTATTAATCTTCTTCGTGAGGTCTTTGTGATGGATAAGTTGCAGTGTCCAATACCATCGTTTGCAAGGGAAGAATTTCTAATCTCAAAATATATTAAGCAGAATTATGAGCAACTCAAGGTGGATATTTCTTTCTTTTGCATTTGGTTATTTATCAACGGGCTCTTGGCTAGTTTTACACTTGTATTTTTTAGTTTATGTGCGATAGATATTCGAAGATAACACAATCGATTCCCGAGCGGTATCGAACCTTGATAATTCCTACTATGATGAGAGTCAATCGTGCCATAGAACCAGGATTGTATCTTCACAATTGGAATAGCACAAACATCATGAGCTATATCAATGCAAGTTACCGTAAAATATCTCTTATTTATTCTACTACCTCCCGATTAGCGAATCATCATCAATTTAGTCATTCTCATTTTTTTCCTCCTATCTATTATTATTTCTTGATGATAAAACAGGTTGTAACGTACAAAGGTCCCAAAAGACGTCTTGTCTAGACCAAATCCCTATAGAATCTGATTATTTCTACCAATGGGAGGCAGATAACATCATAAGAGGTGGTAAATGGGAAAAAATTATTTGATACCTAGTCATTATACCAATAATTATATTAATATACAACTTGGAAATAGGGTAATTGATGGGGAACACAAAGAATACAGTTACAAGTTCCGGTTTACAATCAGTCGATACTTGCCATTAAATGGTGCATTTTGATGAATCAGCTACATATGAGAAGAGTTATTCGCATAAATTAGCTAACCTATGCTTTCGTTCCTTTTTTGTAATTACTGGATAGTCAGAATGTGAACTGACTTCCTCTAAAAGTGTTTTATTTTCAGAATGTTCTTAAAGAACTGTCTGACTTGGAACGTCTGGTGAAACAAGTTATCGATATATCCGTTAAGCGAATTGATAAGACCTTGACAGAATTGAGTCAAACACCAATACTGCAGTTACCAGGACCCGATGAACAGACCCCAGAGTTATTTGATCTATTACGTCTTGCCAAAGATCAAATTGATACGGCAGCCGATTCAATGAATAGCCTCACAATCACTGCACTCAAATCAACTGTCGATATGCTCAATATTCTACTAACTGATTATGATAAATTTGTGGATGATAATAATTTGTCAGATATTATTAATGAGGAGGTCCAACTTCGCTATGCACATATGGCAAACCAAGAACAGAATGGTTGTCATTTAACATAGATTAAATGTCTCTTGGAGTTTTTTATCAATTTTAATGTAAAATTTCCTTAAACTTAGGTCCAGGTCATGTTAAACGTCCTAGAAATCAAGAAGGTGATGCTGATGGGCAGACAGCAGCAAGAGCTTCTGATCACCATCTCCCCCCTGAAGTTCACGATTCACTGAGGACTGCAATTGAAGTTGCCATGGCTGCAGATCAAATGATGAAAAATTTGGGTGCCCGTGCGACAGAAGCTGTATGCCAGTCGGTGAGAATAGCTCTCGATACAATCTTGGAAAGACTTTCTGTAACAGAAGCTGCGGGTATTCTCAAGGATGTCCCCATGGGAATGAAGGTCATGTCAGGTAAGTTGATCATCAGTCAATTTTCGAGACCTATTTTCAAACACTAACGCTTCACAAAACCAGTAACAGTGTAAACTTAGTTTTATAGGTCGTAAAACTCTTCTATTTAAATTCAAAACTTTATATTATAACTACCTTTAGTATGGAATATATAGCATTTCTATATCGCAATCCGACCATTCTGATGGCTGAAGTACTTTTCGTCTTCTTAACAAAAGAAATATATAACCTAGTTGGAGTTTTCTTTAATCACCTCCGTGTATATTTCAATTATGAGGGTCCCAGGAGGCCGCAATTTTTTAAAGTGATACAGCAAGCATTCGTTTAAGAAATATGCAACCAGAGTTCCTTTACATCATCTTAAGCCTCACTCCAAAGGCATCTTTAAGCCTTACAATGGTTGCCATGACAAATAATAAAGTTCTTAAATAACTAATAAGCTAGTGTGTTCTTCGTTGGACCAGTCCAAGTATGTTCTACCACTTATTTAACAATTTCAAAGTGCCAACCAGTGCCATTAAGAGTGATCCCCATTCTAATGCCTAAATTAAGCATTGATATGACTTCTGTTAAGTCGCTAAACATTACTTTCTCCGACATAGGGATATGCAGTTCCCCCAAATTACAGCTTACTCACATTTAGATTTCGTCTCTTGTAGGAAATATTCGTCCCCAACCTCTGGTACGATGCTATGTTCGTCTAATCGGATCTCAAGTGGACATATCGCCTCGTCCAGCAGATATACAAACAGCTCTAAGAAGCATCGTCGGGTGTATTGAGAAGAGTTGTAAAGGGGTACTGGCTTGGGGTACTGACGGACGTAAGCGCGAAGTCAATGAAAGAACGCTAACTGACGCACCGGATCCTAGTATTTTGTATTATGAACCTACGGCAATAACGGTTGCTAGCATCTCTCAAATGTGTGAGTCATCTTTTCACAGTTACAATAATACGTTATTTGTGAGTACACTTTCCTACAGTCTAGTTTCGATCAAAATTTCCCATTTTTCTCCCCGAGTAATTAGTTTTTTTTATTCTTCAAATCTATTTGTAATGAAAATCACAAAGCTACTCCTTACCTTAAAGCATTGTGTTTTTAGTACGTAATCTTCAAGAATGTCATTCGCTGCCAAGACCATAATCTTCTCGTACATGCAGTGACTAAAGGCTTAGGCTACGTTAAAAGTGGTCAAGATGTGATAGCGACCACGACTTTCTCACCCAATAGGCACTGAGGTGTCAGTCCCCTTTCAACGCTGATTAATGGAAACGAGTCACTAAAGGTGTTCGGGAATGTTTGCTATACATGTTCTTCCATTAGAAAAGACAGAACATTTCACGCTTTCTTTTAAGCAGAAATATAGCTGCAGGAGTGGGGGAATTCGTTTGGAGTAGAATTAGGTTGATTTGTTCCACAGCTCGAATAATATTTTCAGCAGTTAAACAAAAATACTCTGAGGTGACTCGCACTGAATCTAACGACAAATTCGGAGATGACATGAAATGATTATGCTTATAATTATCCAGCCTATGTTTAACTGATCTTTTTTACCATGTTAGCCACTGAGGATAGGCGTTCGACTGGTAATATAGTGAGTTCAGCCAGCAGCACGGCAACAGAAGGGGCTGAGGTTGAAAGCGTGACTCTACAACCAGTTCGATCCTCAGCTCCTTCTGCCTCAACTTTGGGTGGGGAAGATGAAGTCACTCCAGACTCCCAAGGTCCCATAGAATTTCATTCGGTTAGTTACTTCGATCATTTATGCAGTTATTTATTATTTTGATTTGTGAAAAATTGTGAAAGGGCTATATAACCATTATGTTACAACTACAGTTGTTTCTGATCCGGTAGAACTATATTAGAAGAGGGCGGCAATACAGATGTTTCAACCGCGGCTACTAAATAGATCGAGTTGTTCTCCTATTGTTCTCATTAGTGGTTTAAGGTCTAATTGCTATCTAACTGACGATGTTGTGTTCATTCATCTAGTCTATACCAACTAGGATTCAAGGGATGCAACGTAACTAACAGTAGAGGGAGTGAAAAGCAGTAATCAGTAGTATATTGCGTGGTGGAAATAAATATTTATCAAGACTCATCATGTAGATGATGCAAATAAAGTTGAAAGGCAGTAGGCTGCATGAAGGATGGAAACACATCTTGCGAAATGCCTTATGACTAAGAGTGACAGTAGCAAATGACTTTATGGCCTGATCTAGCCTTGGCCACAATACGTTCTCAGTTAGGCGTATGCTTTCCTTTGATGAGCCTGTTTATAGGTTAATTTCGGCCAATAGGACTGGGCGTTTTGATATTTATTTATTTCAAATGGCAAGCGTTCTGATAGTTATCATTAGCTCTTAAGCTGACTTCGGGCTTCACAGAGGGAAGGAACATCAAAGTAACAGAAAGTCGAAGGGTGGGGAACAGAATAGTGATTCACAGATGTAAGAGACAGACACAAAGGTAGAGAAGGGGGTAAGGTGAGTACTGTGAAAGGGGTCGAATATTACATAGAGTCTGGCCATGGTAGTTTGATGTCAGCTGCCGGTTAATAGACTTTTTTGGTGTATGAGTATACGTTGCCCAGGGTGCACCACGTGGAGGTAAGTCTATCGCACACCCCGGCGTTTTGATATGAATGAAGATTGAAGCTCAAACATTCACTCGAGTGATACCATTTTTAAGGCATTCGTTTAGTCTGGACTCTGAGTAATCTACTCAACGTCAGACAAAGCATGTACTTTGAGGACTTGGATCGTTTTTCGGTATGCCACCAAATGATAAATTAGGCACGTTAAGCTAAAAATCACAGTTCTAATTAATTTCTCTCTATCCAGCCTTAGAAGAGAACCAGTTCTTGGCTTTTGCATTGACGTTGAATACACTCAATTGCAAAGACATATTTCTCCGATGATCGCATTTCATATTTGGCTGAAATGATTAAAGCATTTAAGTTAATTATAACTTAATGAATTTTTAACTTTTACTGTAGAAGAGAAAGAGAAGTTCACGAATCTCCACGCTTGCCCAGGAGATAAATGGAAGTGGGTTTAATTGGCTTTTAAATGTCTGCAAATCACCGTAGGTTTTAATGCTTCCACCTTATTTGTAGTGTTGGAAACGGATAACAGACTTCGTTTCAATACCTATAAGGATGTTCATGCCGATAGAGAAATCTATCGTCTAAGGAACTTCATTGCCACGGGCTTGCGACAAATGAGGAATATCGTTTTCCAACGTGATGGTTAGTCCCATTTATACTTGCTGTGAGCACTTGAGCCCAACTTGGGTTTAACACTTGCCACGTATTCTTAAACTCACTCCGTTCATTTGAATAACTGAAGGAATTCAACCTTATGGTCTTTACTCGTTTATTTATTTATATCAAATGGCAGGCTTAATGATAGTTATTAAAAGCCCATTAGTTGACTTCGGGCTTCGCAGAGGGGAGGAACAGAAAAAGTCACAAAATCAGAGGTGAGGAACAGAAGAGTGATTCACAGGTGTAAAAGGGACAGACATAAAGGTTGAGAAAAGGTAATGTGAGTAGTATGGATGTAGTCGAATATAACATACAGTCGGGCCATGATAGTTTGAATTCAGAAATCAACTGCCGATTTATTGACTTTCTTGCCGTATGAATGTGTGTTACCCAAGGCTCCACCACGTAGAGTCAAGTCTATAACACACCCCTGGATTTACACACAGCTAACTCCATTTAGATTAATTCTGAAACACTTTAATAATATAGCATTATTTCTTCGCGTAAGACAGTTCTCTGCTTATTCTAGGTTATATTTATGAGACGGAGACCTTGACGTCATATCTTGATCAATTCAGTAACATCTATAAGTGTGATGTGGAGAAGGAGCTAGAAGCATTCATGGCTTCTCAACCATCCTTAGATGACTTCCAGCAGAAGTTTATGGACTTACAGAAAATTGATGAACGTATTGAAAGAGAGCCAGATTATTACATCGTTGGAGCTCTTTATGTCGGGTTAGAAGATTTCAAGCGGAAGATTAGAGCCACTCTCAATAATCTAAAGAAGGTACATCTTCCTTCCTTTCATAAATTTGATAAATATTAGATTCAATTTTAATTTCAATATGACTATCTATAATTAGGCGTATGTACAAGCCTTCATCTCCGAATTCCTTTCTTCATTGGACGAAATTCAAAATCAAATCAATGAATGGAATCAGAATCTCGGGAAGAATGTTATTAATCTGGATGATATTGCATTCATCATGTCTACATTGGCTAGTATCCGGGAGAATGACATCGACCAAGATTTGGCTCTTAAGCAGTTTGAGGTTAGATAGTCCTATTATTTTTTGCCGAAGATTGTGACATTGCTTACATTGAGACTTGTTGATTTCTATAGGATGCAACAAGTCTTGCACTGAAGTACAAAATGCCTTTTCCAAAGGAGTTGGCAGATAGAGTGGAATCCTGCCGAGATGCTTATATTCGTATCAAGGAAAAGGCCAATCAAAAGCTTAATTATATTCTCAACATTCAGGCCGGATATAAGGATGGTTTGTTGGATGATATTGAGGCCTTGAAAGAAACAGTCGCGGAATTCGAGAAAGACTACGACGAGGTGAGCGAGGTTCCTCTTAGGTGCATGCGTATTCATAGTCATGTGATTAAATGATTTAGTTGTGATTGGTTGGCCTCCCTAACGTAGTAATTGATAATTAGAAGAGTTCTGCTTAAATTCTTTGCGAATACGGTACCATGAAGAATTTAGAGATTCGCCCTTTTCCGACTCAAATTTTGCCCATAGCCCCATTCTTCCTTTGATTCATTCACTAATCGGAAACTATATTTCTCAATTAAGGGATACTTTCTACATATCATTCACTTTATTTATTCCAATATGTGGAATTCGGAGATTCGTCTTGATTATACTAGGAATTAGATCTTTGTATCCTTAAGAAAGTCTTAAACTGTTGTAAGCAATGAATTTTTATGATTAGTGCTTGGCCAACTATGTATAAGCCACTAACAAAGTATAAGAAAGACAACTCAATCTCCCACCTTTGCTCTGACAGGTAGATGTACATTTATGCTCATTTATTTCTTCTAATATTCGAAATATACAATGATAAAGCCGGCAAAAAATAAAAAAGTCAAATCCGCAGTGTTTATCTTTTGTCTCGGGATGAGCGATTCCAGCAGTTGCTACAAGGTCGGCCATTATTCTTATCAATTTGTGATCGAACATCACTTCTGATGGCTTGGGGATAAATTGGATCTTATCCGTTATCAGTCCGGCTGGAATTTGATCTCCCAACAATAAGGGCATAGTGCCAACTTGTAATCCCACATAACGCTTTTGTTCAATCAATAAAATGTCAAGGTTAAACAGCACTCCCATCTTGCTTTCTACTCTTTCATGCAGAGTATGAGCCAATTGTAGACTGGAGATATCTAGTGGACTGATATATCATGGCGATAGAACTAAATATTCTAGCAGTACTGTAGTATGCAGGAGTCATATAATTAATGAAAATGGCTAATTGGTTAGTTAAAAATAGTAACAACTAATAGTTCGACAATTTTGCTCGTTTGGTAACTTTTCTTCGACTTCGTTAGCTTGTGAGTGGCTAAGAGAATTTCTATCTCTATATTTATCCCTCATACTTCAACTAAAACTAATTCTGCTCAAAGTATGTTACATTTGGAAAGCTTAAATGGATGGGTTAAAAAAGTATTAGAAACTCACATTCAGGGTAAGAAAAACCAAACACTCCACAAGGTCGTAGCGTCGTAGGTGTTCGAGTGGTGGAAATAAATGAAATTGAGGCATGCAAAGTCAGTATAAGCCTAATGTATTAATAATGAAACTAGGAGTAGATTGTTGTTTTGGGGCGTATAATTAAATACGAGTTTGCTAGCAGAGGTAACACGGTGATAAGGAATTGAAGTTCTCAACAAGCTCTTAATGTTATGAGTATTGGTGTTTTACAGTCATCAAATTCTCAGCAAGTCGTATTTTGGGTCTGCAGTTTACAGAGTCTGATCCCTGTCCAATCTCATCATTTGGCCTTTACGTACTTTTAGACTATTTGTATACAATAATTTCTTCTTTAGAAAGGTCCTATGATACCGGGTCTTCCTCCACAAGTTGCACTAGACAGACAAATTCAATTCAAAAACCGGCATGAAAATATCACACGAAAAATGGTGACAGCTCGCAAAGGTGAACAACTCTTCGGTCTTCCTATTACCGACTATTCCAGATTAAATGAAATCGGCAAAGAACTGGACCTTCTTCAGCGACTCTATGGACTATATAACGAAGTCAATAAAACTGTCAGTGGATATTATGATATTATCTGGCGTGATGTGAATATGGAGAAGATTGCTGCGGACTTGGAAGAATTTCAAAAGAAGTAGGCTTTTTTACATAGGGCGTAATTTGGAGAAGAAATGGATTTTAAATGCGTTCATTTTAACTTAATCTAGATGTAAGCGTCTGCCCAAGGGTCTGAAGTCTTGGCCAGCATATGCAGATCTGGAGAAAACCATCAACAATTTCAATGAAAAGGTTCCCCTTCTAGAAATGATGACCAATAAAGCTATGAAACCTCGACATTGGCAGCGTCTTACTAACCTCTTAAACTACAACTTTGATGTGGAATCTGAGAGCTTCACTCTGAAGACCATGTTGGATGCACCATTGTTGGATTTGAAGGATGATGTGGAAGATATTTGCATTTCCGCCGTTAGAGAAAAGGAAATTGAAGCTAAACTCAATGGTGTAATAGCCGACTGGAATCAGCAAGAATTAAAGTTATCTACGTTTAAATCCCGAGGTGAACTACTATTAAAAGGAGATCGTGTTGCTGAAATTATCCCAATGTTGGAAGACTCGCTTATGGTCCTTGGTTCACTGTTGGGCAACAGGTTCGCTTTACTAATTGTTTTTAGAAAGGTTTTCCCGAATAATGGGGAAAATTAGGCTTGCCACTCCTATGAGGTTCTAGATTTTCAAGTCATTTACTTTTTTACTAGGTATAATGCTCCTTTCCGAAAGCCTATTCAAGAATGGGTTCAGAAACTAAGCGTCACCAGCGAGGTACTGGAGAACTGGATGCGTGTTCAAAATCTCTGGATCTACCTCGAAGCCGTGTTCGTCGGTGGTGACATTGCCAAACAACTGCCACAGGAAGCCAAACAGTTCCAGTCTGTTGATAAATCTTGGGTGAAGGTAATGGAAAGAGCCCGTGATAACCCTGGCGTAATTGCTTGTTGTTCTGGAGAAAGCAATCTATTAGAGATCCTTCCACGTCTGCTCAAGCAGCTTGAAGTCTGCCAGAAATCTCTCTCAGGTTACCTAGAAAAGAAACGTCTCAAATTCCCCCGATTCTTCTTCGTGTCTGATCCAGTACTTCTTGAAATCTTGGGTCAAGCTTCTGATCCAACTGCTATCCAACCTCATCTATTGGCCATTTTCGATAATACCAAACGTGTTCTGTTTGATGGAAATGCGACTGATATCCTTGCTGCTTTTTCGAGGGAAGATGAGAGATTGAACGTATGTTTACTTTTTTACAAATTCATATATCTCTTTTTAGATGTGCACTCCTGTGAAATGCGAGGGTCAAGTAGAGAGTTGGTTGAGTACACTTCTAGATACAAGTCGGGTGTCACTCCACATTTGTATCCGGAACGCATACCACCTGATCATGGATCCTTCTGGTGACCTCATCGAATTTTTCACCACTCAGCTGGCTCAGATCGGTATAATTGGCTTGCAGATTATCTGGACTATGGATGCCACCATGGCACTAAAGCAAGCAAGAATAGAACCCAAAGTCATGGTAAAAACGAACAAGCACTTTCTGGAAGTTCTCAACTTATTGATAAACGAAACCACTAGGGATTTGTCCTCTGTTCAACGAACTAAGTTTGAAACACTGATTACTATTATGGTTCACCAGAGAGATATATTCGATGATTTGGTAAGAGATTGATCAAACAAATCTGATTATTAATTTTAAATTCTTATTGATGTTTAATGTCTTAACACAACTAGGTGAAAATGGGAATCAAGTCGCCAGATGACTTTGAATGGACTAAACAAACTCGTACTTACTATAATGAGGAAGTGGATAGCTGTGTGATTTCCATCACAGATGTTAACTTTGCCTATCAAAATGAGTTTCTTGGATGTACAGAGCGTTTGGTAATAACACCACTGACTGATCGTTGCTATATCACCTTGAGTCAGGCTCTCAATATGCACTTGGGTGGCGCTCCAGCCGGTCCAGCTGGTACAGGCAAAACAGAAACAACAAAAGTAAGTTCATTTTTCATCTTATGGGGGAGGGGGTGGGGGTTGAGGGAGGGTTGGGGGGGGGGGAAGGTGGCAGTAAAATAAATAGCATAAAAAGGTGTATTGGATATTACATGCGTTATTTCACACTATTTAGATTGCATTATCAACAAACTTAACATGCATTTTCATTCAATCTGCAGGATATGGGTCGATGTTTGGGCAAGTACGTGGTGGTTTTCAACTGTTCTGATCAAATGGATTTCCGCGGTCTCGGACGCATTTTTAAAGGCCTTGCCCAATCTGGATCATGGGGGTGTTTTGACGAGTTCAATAGAATTGAGCTGCCAGTACTATCAGTCGCTGCTCAACAGATTGCAATTGTTCTCAATGCTAAGCGAGAAGGTTTATTTTCCTTCATTTTTACTGATGGCGATGAAGTGTCGCTTGATCCAGAGTTTGGAATTTTCTTAACTATGGTATTTAATAATTTAAGTTCAGACAGTTTGACTCCTAATTTATTGGATTAAACATAAATATATGTTGTGTCTTGAATAGAATCCTGGCTACGCAGGTCGTCAAGAGTTACCGGAAAACCTAAAAATAAATTTCCGAAGCGTTGCCATGATGGTACCTGATAGGCAGATAATTATTCGAGTCAAACTGGCTGCTTGTGGATTTGTGGACAATATTATTTTGTCAAGAAAGTTCTTTGTGCTCTATAAGCTTTGTGAGGAACAGCTGACCAAGCAAGTAAGCTGCTACTATCTTTCACTTATCAAAGCATAGTACAAGAGATATTTGAGCAATTCCTTCATCAGAAAACTATAATAATTCATTTAATCTCAAGGTTCACTATGACTTTGGTTTACGGAACATTCTCTCCGTCTTACGAACACTTGGAGCTGCTCGTCGTAGAAATCCAAATGAAAGTGAGGACCACACTGTTATGCGTGGCCTTCGAGACATGAATCTATCCAAACTGGTGGATCAAGATGAACCACTCTTCACTTCTCTAATTGATGATCTTTTCCCTGGAACAGAACTTGAGAAAGCCTCCTACCCAGAGCTTCAGAAAGCCATTGAAAATGTTACTTCTCAGTCTAATCTCGTAAACCATCCCGAATGGAACCTTAAAGTCGTTCAGGTGGGACCTGTTCAATCATGGATTTTAGTTTAGATCTTAGAAAATCTAATTGTTAGCTCTTGTTTAATTTCAGCTGTATGAAACACAAAATGTCCGTCATGGAATGATGGTTCTAGGACCTTCTGGAGCTGGAAAAACCACTTGCATCAGGACTCTCATGTCAGCTATGACTGAGTTCTGGGAGCCACATCGTGAAATGCGAATGAATCCCAAAGCTATCACCGCTTCGGAAATGTTTGGCCGTTTAGATGTTGCGACAAATGACTGGACAGACGGCATCTTCTCCACTCTTTGGCGTAGAACTCAGAAAAAAAAGCCGACTGACCATATCTGGCTTATTTTGGATGGACCTGTCGATACTATTTGGATTGAAAATCTCAATTCTGTATTAGATGATAATCAAACTTTAACTCTAGCAAATGGTGATCGTATTCCTATGGCTCAAAACACAAAGCTTATCTTCGAAGTTCATAATATTGATAATGCCTCACCCGCTACTGTTTCTCGAAATGGAATGGTCTTTATGTCGAGTTCTGTACTCGAATGGGAACCCATTTCAAAAGTTGGTTACCAAATTTGTATAACTTACCCATTAATAAAATTAACTTTAAGGCATCTTTCCGTATGTTTTCAGGCTAGACTTAATAATCGACCACACAGGGAAAAACAGAGGTTGCAGGAACTTTTTGAAAATTCTTTTCCCCACTGTTATCGGTTTGCTTCCCAATCTCTTTCTGCTGTAATGCCATATCTCCAGGCCTTTTTCGTGCACCAGCTCTGCACAATATTGGATGGGCTATTCACAAACGAAAATCAGGTAAGAGAGTGATATTGGAGACCATTTAATTTGCCCTCTTCTTGCCTCTATAGCAGGCTGACATGGAGAAATGTCTTGAAAGATTTTACATCTTTGCCTTGATGTGGTCGATTGGTGCTTTGCTTGAGTTGGATGATCGAGAACGCTTGGAAAAGTTCATGCGAACGGAACTAGATATAAAACTTGATCTTCCGATAGTGGATGAAACGAAATCAGAAACGATTTTCGAGTATTTTGTTGATAATAATGGTGAATTTCGATTTACACTTTCCATTCACCGTTATTATTGTTAAAAAAGTAACAATTTTTCTCCATTATATCAGGAAATTGGGTTCATTGGTCAAATAGAGTTGAGGATTACCTCTATCCAACGGATAAAGATCCAAAATATTCAAGTATCCTCGTTCCTAATGTTGATAACGTACGAACGGATTACCTTATCAGACTTGTTGCAAAGCAGGAGAAGGCAGTTTTGTTAACCGGTGAACAAGGGACAGCGAAAACGATCATGCTAACTAATTTTATGACGAGCTTCCCTAAGGAAACGCATACTGTAAAGTCATTCAACTTCTCATCAGCTACAACGCCAAATCTCTTTCAGGTAATTTTATCCTTTTCGAGTATATTTTGGACTACTGCAGAGAACCATAGAAAGTTTTGTGGAAAAGAGAGTTGGGACAACTTATGGCCCACCAGCTGGAAAGAAAATGATCGTATTCGTAGATGATATTAGCATGCCGCTAATCAATGAATGGGGAGATCAGGTGGCAAATGAAATCGTTCGACAGACGATGGAAATGAATGGTTTTTACAGTTTAGACAAGCCTGGAGAATTTACAAACATAGCAGACGTCCAAGTAATCTTTCCTTTTACACAGTGGAGCAAAATTTGGCTCAAAAATTGATGGGTAATTTCCAAATTTTAGTTTCTTGCGGCCATGATTCATCCAGGCGGAGGTCGAAATGACATTCCAGAGAGGTTAAAACGTCAGTTTGCATGTTTCAACAGCACTCTTCCGAGTAACAGCTCTATCGATAAAATCTTCAGCACTATTGGATTGGGACATTACTGTCGAGAGAGAGGTTTTTCAGAGGAAGTGATCAACACTATTCGAGACCTCGTTCCTGTCATTCGAAGAATTTGGCAGCAGACAAAAGTAAAGATGCTTCCCACCCCAGCTAAATTCCATTATATTTTCAATCTTCGAGATCTTAGCCGAATTTGGCAAGGTATGATCTATGGAACGAGTGAAGTAAGAACCTAAAGTATATAATCAGTCGTGCTTATGCCCAACTTTCAGATTTCATTCAACTACTATTCTCAATATTTAGGTTTTTACTTCACCCGATCTTATTATAAAATTGTGCAAGCATGAAATGACTCGAGTGATCGCTGACCGATTTGTTGATCCATCCGACTTGATATGGTTTGAGAATAACTTTGACCACAGTATGGAAGAAATGCTGGGTCCTGAGATTGCCTCTTATGCTGCAAATGAAACACTCTTTGTCGACTTCATGCGGTGAGTTTGTCTGCCCCCCTTCCCTCCTCCACTTCCTCAATGCTATATGTTTTGCTAGCAATTTAGCATTCTGACTATTTACAGTTAGCGCAGATTTACTCATAAAATCTTATTTGCCAATTCCATTCACTATTCTTTGGCAAAGAAAAAAGTCATTAACAAAATAGTGCCGCCTACTCTTCATCAATTACAGTAAAAAAATTGATTAAACCTATGAGTTAATTTCCAGAGATCCACCGGAAGCTACGGGTGATGAACCCGAGGATTTCGATTTTTCTGCACCGAAGGTCTACGAACCCGTAAGTACATTAGTTTTGCTAATTTAATATTGTTAGCTATAAATCTCCCAACCCAACTGATAGAAACTTATGTCACCACTGAAAATTCAATAGCCATCAACTAAAGTTATGTCTCAGAATTATAAGCAAAAGTTGATTGAGCGTCAAATTGTTTTAAACGAAGTTATAATCGGATTGTCCATATGCTATATGAAATCACTAAGAATAATTAGCAGTTGCTAGGCGAGAATATTAGGAGTTGATAACCGATAATCTAGTGAACTTAAACTGTGCTGTCTACAACCATAGGAGGCGCGTCCGTCCGTGGTACAAGTAATGAACTACTATATCTATCGAGTTGGTTGCTATCACTTTAATTTTAGCAACCACACTAACTGCATACTCACAGATCAGCAAGGAATTATTTTGTTCTATCAATTTTTATTGAACAATCAACAACACTCCATCAATTATGATGAGTTTTAGTTAAAAGGTTATCAATTTCGCTGACTCATATTTTAGGTGGGTTGGACGGGGGTTGGGAGGGGGTTCAGACATTTGCTCTTAGTCACTTAGGCAGTCCTGGTATAGGGAAATAGTGACAACGTCTCAAAGTTAGTGCGAGCTATATCGGTTTATACTTTGAATAGGTTACCGATTTGAGCGTACTGGTCAGCAAACTCAATCAATTCTTGAACGAGCGAAAGGAAACAGTGCGAGGTGCACCACTAGATATTGTTTTCTTCAGAGATGCTGTAATGCACCTTGTGAAGGTGTCTCGAATTATTCGTACTCCAAGGGGAAATTGCTTACTCGTGGGTGTCGGTGGCTCTGGAAAACGATCGACTACACGTCTTGCCTCGTATATTGCTGGCTATGAAGATTTCAACATCGTCCTAACGAGGTAATCTAAATCTCTCCCTCCACTCATTCCAAAACACTAAATAAAAAAGCGTTTATGAAGCCCATTCATGTTTTAAATAGGTCGTACAATGTGAGCGACTTTCTTGAAGACCTTCGAACTCTGTACCGTAAGGCAGGGCTGGAAGGTAGTGGTGTAACCTTTATCTTTACGGACTCTGATGTAAAAGAGGAGGCCTTCCTTGAGTACATGAATAACATGCTAACTTCTGGAATGGCAAGTTTGAAAGAGAGTTTACCTACTAAATTTATCAAATCTCAAAGACCAGATTTATTTAAGCTACATCCATTGTGACTTAATAGGTGTCTGGACTGTTTTCTCGCGAAGATATTGATGAGATCCTTAATTCCCTAATTCCAGTAATGAAGAAGGAGTTTCCTCGTCTTCCACCGGATAATGAAACCCTCTATGATTACTTCCTTCAACGTATTCAAAAGAATCTTCACATTTGTCTCTGTTTCTCACCAATTGGCGAACGTTTTCGCAAATGGGCCCTTTACTTCCCTGGTCTAATTTCCGGTTGTACGATAGATTGGCTTCATCAATGGCCTAAAGATGCTCTGGTTGCTGTTGCCCAACATTATCTTGGAAACTTTAACATTGAGACAACTCCTACAGTAAAGAAATGCCTTATTGATATTGTTGCATCTGTACATGATGATGTTACTTTCAGATGCGATCAGTACTTCGTTCGCTATCGTCGTACAGTTCATGTTACTCCTAAGTCGTATATATCCTTCCTCAGCGGATATATCAGAATATACAATCAGCAACTTTCTCATATTCAGGCTCTGATTAATCGACTGTCCTCTGGGCTGCAGAAACTTGATGAGGCTCAGGAGTCTATCGTTAAACTGAGCGCTGAGTTGGTTGAAAAGAGAAAGGAAATAGAGATTGCCAATATTGAAGCTGAGGAGGTATTAGCGGATGTTTTAAAGCAAACTCAAGCTGCTGAAGAAGTTAAGGACAAAGTTCTGGTTGTGAAAGACAAATGTGAGACTATTGTGAACGGAATTTCAGAGGATAAGGTCATAGCGGAAGAGAAGCTCGAAGCAGCTAGACCTGCTTTAGAAGAAGCTGAAGCAGCTTTAAATACCATCAAACCGACCGATATTTCCACTGTTCGAAAGCTAGCAAAACCACCACACCTGATCATGCGTATAATGGACTGTGTATTGATTCTCTTTCAGCGTCCACTTTTAAGTTTCCAAGAGGATCAAGAACGAAAAGGATGTATAAAACCCTCATGGCATGAATCTCTGAAGCTTTTAGCCAATACTAACTTCCTAGCTAACCTGTTAAACTTCCCCCGTGATTATATAACAGAGGAAACTATTGATTTGATGGAGCCTTACTTCTTGGTAGATGATTATAACCTGGAGACAGCGAAGAAGGTTTGTGGTAACGTCGCTGGTTTGTGTGCTTGGACTAAAGCTATGGCGAAGTTCTACTGGATTAACAGAGAAGTCATTCCATTAAAGGACAACTTGACAAAACAGGAGATAAAATTGAATGCAGCTAAAGAAGACTTAGCCAAGGCAGAAGAAGCCCTGCAAGAGAAAGAAAGACAGTTGGGGATTGTTCGTGCCCTCTTTGAAAGGGCAACAGCAAGAAAGAAAGAACTGGCAGATGATGCTGAGTCTTGTCAAAGACGTATTGCTACAGCGACGACATTGATTGAAGGCCTCTCAGGAGAGAAAGTTAGATGGACTGAGGAGACTCGAACTCTTAGTGACCAAATTATCCGACTTGTTGGAGACGTCCTGATGGCAACTGCTTTCCTTTCCTACTGTGGATGTTTTAACCAAGACTTTAGAACCACTATCATCAACTCCTGGATTAAGAGTTTGGTGAAAATGAAGATACCTCATACGCCTAATCTTGATCTTATCAATATGCTGACAGATGATAACACAGTATGTTTAGCTGATTTTTATCGCAGTATTGCTGAAGTTGGCAGCTGCTTAAAAATTCATTTATTTATCTTCACGTAGATTGCTGAATGGAATCTGGAAGGCTTGCCCAATGACGATCTATCAACTCAAAATGCGATCATTGTGACTCAGGCGTCAAGATATCCGTTACTAATTGATCCTCAGAGCCAGGGCAAAAACTGGGTCACAAAACACGAGGCTGCGAATAAAATGATGGTAAAACTAGTTACTTTCCTAAGTAATAAAAAGGATCACGTTTGTTAATTTTCAATGAATTACCTAACGAATTTAAAATACTGATCATGTGGAAATATCCAAATACGTTGGTAGTATAGATGCTTTAATTTACGCTGCTGGGTCAGTAGGACTGGGTCAAAATCAAGAAGACCACTTCATCTAATCTACAGGAGCATGAATACGTTCGCTTTAGCATAGTTGTAGACTAAAGGCACCTTGACCAACTCCTTGGGTTTGCGGATTCAGAGATATCAATTTTTGTCGACGGTATTTCCATAGCCTTCGGCCAGTACTCATGGTCTTCGTGAATACTTGCCGACAGATTTAAACTTGTTTCAGTAGATCTAGCACAGCTCGTATACTTGTTTCAAAGACATTAAGCAATTGCATAAAGACGGGGAGGTTTTGAATGTTCAAAGAATAGATAGGCAGTAGGAAAAATCGAGCGGAATCGTTCGAAGTGAGCTTTTAAAACTTTAGTCTGCTACTTCTTTGATGCACTTAGGAACTATGTGTGGTATATGTGCGAAAACTAGCCCTACTTATTTATGTTTAGGCTAAAGTTATCTGAGACACGCATTCTAGCCAAAATCAGTAATATTTACCCATCACGAAAACTAATTCCCACATGTTTTCGGAAAAGACGCTTTCTCTCAGCATTCGTCATTGGAGTACCTATGAAGAGCTTTGTTATTTTATAACATTAGGTAACAACTTTCGAACATCGCTACTTCCGAACACACTTAGAGGATGCTCTTTCCCAAGGCCGTCCCCTTCTTATTGAAGACGTCGGTGTAGACCTAGATCCAGTTCTCAATGATATTCTTGACAAGAACTTCCTCAAATCTGGCACTGGATTAAAAGTGAACGTTGGAGATAAAGAGGTAGACATTAGCAAAGGCTTTACGCTCTATATTACAACCAAGTTGCCCAATCCTGCCTACAGTCCTGAAGTGTTTGCTAGAGCATCTCTAATTGATTTCGCTGTCACTACCAAGGGTCTCGAAGATCAGCTATTATCTCGGGTTATCAAAACAGAGAAAGAAGTGAGTAGATTTCACATACAAGTTAATTATGAAGCCTATAATTAATGAGACTGTTGTCGCTATTTGTTCAATAGGAACTCGAGCAAATGAGAATTAACCTCGTAGAGCAAATGACAGCGAACAAGCGTCGTATTATTGAACTTGAGGACAATCTTTTGCAACGTTTGGCTAGTACAGAAGGTTCACTGGTAGATGATCAGGGTTTAGTAGACGTTCTGCAGACTACAAAAGAAACCTCACTCGAAGTCTCGGAACAAATTGCTTTGGCTCAAGACACAGAGACAGAAATTACTACAGCTCGTGAGGAATACCGTCCAGTTGCTGCAAGGGGTTCTCTCCTCTACTTCCTTCTGGTCGAAGTTTCCGGAGTAAATCCAATGTACCAGACTGGTTTGAACCGATTCTTGAAACTTTTCGATGCGTCCATGACGCTGTCGGAAAAAACTTTAATTACACCGAGACGAATTAGTAATATCATTGATTATATGACGTACAGTGTGTGGTCCTTTGCCGTGCGAGGTATGTTCAAGCTAGACAAGACGATGACAACACTTATGTTGGCACTTCGAATCGATTTGCAAAACAAGGCAATAGGACATGAAGAATTTATGGTCTTTATTCAGGTAGGCTTAAAGATCTCCTATTTAAATTCCGCTCACAAAAGAAAGTGGTCTGACCAATAGGTCTTAGCTAAATGCACGAAGGGACATAATGCACTTGGTGATACCAAATACATTCGTGACATGTGGAAGAAAGTCTATCACTGCCAGTTTGGTTAATGCAACTAGTGTTACTCAATGAGTAGATCTGATTGAGTTCCACTAATTTGTACTGTTATATTAGCCATTGCTCTTCTGACTCAGCTGACCAATTCGACCATCTTCATGAATGGAAGTACGTCCTGAAGTCTGAACTGTGAATGCAAAGTATTCTAACTAAGTATATTCACTAAATTCAGGTTTTTTTTTAACTTTTAAATTCTGACTTAAGCGGTGAGAAGATGTTCTTCTTTGTCCTTACTTTGATACCCATCCACTCTCTTCACTTCATATTTAAACGACTTTGTCTTCTCAATTGGCTTGAAGGTTCTCTCATGATAACGACTGCCGGATATTTACCTGGCTAAGAATATGGTCTATTAAGAATATAGTCTCAATAGGATTAGCGATACCCTAATTTTACTTTCATTTTACTTTACTTAGGGTGGATCCGCACTTGATCTCAAGATGTGTCCTCCAAAACCGGGAAAGTGGATCTCAGATCTAACATGGTTGAACTTAGTAGCCCTTTCTAAGCTGACAGAGTTCAATAACATCATCCAACAGGTTACTACAATGGAGAAGCAATGGCGGCAGTGGTTCGATAAGGAAGCACCAGAAGATGAGGTTATTCCTTGTGGTTATGAGCATACTCTTGATGTCTTCGGACGTCTCCTGCTCATCCGTGCTTGGTGCCCTGATCGAGCTCTACAACAGGCCAGGAAGTACATCATACATACCCTCGATCAGGCCTATATTGAAGATATTCCCGTCAACGTGAGAGAGTAAGTGTACAGCATAAGTATATGTATAAATACTTATTTGTTTAATGTGCTCGTATATGAAGTCGGATGTCATGGATTCAATGTCAACCGACGCAATCTCATTGGGGAGAATTGACAACCGCAGTGGCTAATTGTGGTGATTAAGGGAAGTGCCAGAACTCAAGCTTCACGCCTTCCAAGACCCATGATTCTACGTCTTCCTCTTTAAATTACATTTCAATACAAAAATCCCATCTTTCAAAAGCAGTGACTTTATGTTGGCAAAATCTGCCTTCTTTAATCACTTCAAGTAATGCAGGTTGTATTTTATGGAGCTTAATTTGGGTGCATTGTTTTCAGCTTGTCTTACGAAGCGGACTCAAAGACACCATTGATTGGTCTACTCAGTATGGGAGCCGATCCAACACCCTCCATCGAGCAAGCGGCAAGGAAATTGAGGATCAACCTTGGCATTGTCTCAATGGGTCAGGGTCAAGAGGTCTACGCTCGACGTCTACTCAAAGCTGCAGTTTCAGAAGGCTCCTGGGTTCTTCTGCAGAATTGTCATCTTTGCACTGATTATGTTCAAGAGATTTTTGAGATGTTCTCTAGTGTGAAGGAGACTACATCGAAAGAAGGGAATAAAGGAGAAAATGAGGGGGAAGGAGTGATTTCACAAGACTCTTCATTTGTTCACGATCGATTCAGGCTTTGGATGACTACAGAGGAACACAAGAAATTCCCAATAAATTTCCTTCAAATAGCAATCAAATTCACTAACGAACCCCCTGAAGGCATTAAAGCGAACCTCTCTCGCAGATACCTTGGTGTTACCCAAGACTTCTTGGAAATTTGCGTCACATATCACTGGCGTATTATGTTGTACGCGTTAGCATATCTTCACTGCACTATCCAAGAGAGACGCAAATATGGTCCTTTAGGATGGTGTATTCCTTATGAATTCAATCAGTCAGACTTCAACGCAAGTGTGACCTTCATTCAGAATCACCTGGATAGCTTGCAGTTCAGGAAGGGTCAGAAGACTAGTGTAGGATACTGTCTATATTCTAATCAATTATATTACTATTGCCTATATTAAACTATTGGCCTGTTTTAGGGAATTGATTGGAAGAGCGTTTGCTACATGATTGCAGAGATTCAGTACGGTGGCAGAGTAACTGATGACTACGACCTTCGATTGCTTGACTGTCTCACTCGAAACTACTTCCAAGAGGCTATGTTCACACCGGGTTTCAAAATGGTTGAGCACTATACAATTCCCCTATTCAACACTGTTGGAGAATATATGGATCACATAAAAAATGGTCTCCCACGAAGGGATAGTCCAGAAGCTTTCGGTCTGCATATGAATGCAGATATCAACTACTCTACTCAAACTACCCGTTATATTCTTGAGACGATTGTCTCCATTCAGCCCAAAGATGAATCAGGAGATTCAGGGGAGACAGAAGGAACTGCTCACAAAGCCCCGGAAACTCGTGAAGTTGTGGTTCATCGAATCTGCACAGAGATGTTGGCTAAACTACCACCTCCTTATGTACCCTACCAAGTGCAAGAACGATTAAGAGCTCTTGGAGCGTTGAAACCCATGAATATTTTCTTGAGACAGGAGGTTCAAAGAATGGACAAGGTGATCAAAATGGTACTCGATACACTTTCAGACCTTCGCTTGGCAATTGATGGTACTGTTGTAATGAATGAAGACTTGAGAGAAGGGTTGGATTCCATTTATGATGCTAGAGTCCCTTCTTCTTGGACCAAGGTGAGACTGTGATATTTTTTAACTCTGATGTTGGTTTCAGAATTCTTGGGACTCCTCAACCCTAGGATTCTGGTTCACTGAGCTTCTCGAACGAAACGCTCAATTCTCAACGTGGTTAGAGAAGGGAAGGCCATCAAGTTTTTGGATGACAGGTTTCTTCAATCCTCAAGGATTCTTGACAGCTATGCGTCAGGAGATTAGTCGCTCTCATGAAGGGTGGTCTCTCGATTCCGCAGTGCTTTCTAGTCAGGTTACAAAGTTCAATGCGGACGAAATTCACGAATCTCCGTCAGAGGGCGTTTATGTCTGCGGACTTTTTATAGAAGGCGCCTCGTGGGACCGCAAGGTTGGACGATTGATCGAAGCCCGCCCGAAAATTCTCTATGAGCCTATGCCTGTGGTGTATTTGTTTGCTATACAGGAGAAAAGGAAGGCAGTGGCTGAAGCTAGGGCAACCTATAATTGTCCACTATATAGGAAACCTAAGAGGACGGGACTCACTTATGTGACTTCATTGGAGTTGAACTGCACGAAGAATCCAGATCATTGGATTAAGCGATCGGTGGCACTTCTATGTGATACCAAATAAACATTCTCCTGGTCTAGAGTTTAATGTTATGTTTACGAAGGTGTTTAATAAAGAGCGGTAACTGGTTCTAGGTTGATTGTTTGAACAACTTAAGTTGATTTGGTCTAGACAACCTTCATTCAATAACTCGCCTATATTTACCAGTGATGCCTGCAAATAGTACGCCTGAAGACGACTATGGAAATATTTTCACCATTAGAAGAAGGTGATATGGCATTTGAATCGAACACACTGATCTTTTTGACGTTTCAGTATAATTGTATCTCGCTTGTACAATAATAGCGAACGTAGCTACTAATTGAGTCATTTTACCATTGAAAGAAGTACCTTTATCCATCACAATTTAGGACCTTATAGTTGCTTACTGATAAACGTCGGTGGGGTATTTAGCATTATCAATTAATGAGCCACTTTTCACATTCTCGACAAGGCCAAAATTCGGTAGCCCATCTTACATTCAAGGCAGTGTGTGTACGGAGACTACCCTCTGAGTACGAGAAAGGTCTATTGAGAACTGAAAACAAGAGGCTTAGTTTTGCCTTAATAGACTTATCCAGGCACTTCTCATTTTGATGAATACAATGGGGCTGGTAAATCAGCATCCCAGCTACAAGATCTCATCTCATCTTGGAAGCGTTTAAGAAGCTTGTTTATAGCAGTCCTCCCTCTCAGTTGGAGAATTTTAATACACTTATAGAATAGCCCTAATCGGTTAAAGGCCTCAGTTACTTAACTCTGGCTTTTATGAATATTTATTCTGCATCGCCACACGTAATCTCTTAGTTGAAGACTGCCAATCAATATAATTCAATTCTCTTCGAAAAGCAATTAAAGTAGGTTCACAGAATAACATATCGTTGACACCTTCCCCTTCTCCGTATTTGATTGAATTCCGACATAAGAACCAGGAATTAACGAGTCGGCCAAGACGATTCAGTCCAACCGAAAACTTGGCCCAACTGCAATAGGCACGACCCTAGTTCTCCATGAAATGCGGTGGCTGCACAGTAGCTTGACGATATCATTCATGTATCGTCACCCAGTTAATTTTAACTCAGTTCAAACAACCTATCCAACCCCAAAATTAATGAAACTAAGTCGTGATACAAGTGACGTCCTATTCCCACTATATGGGAAAAGTTCGAACCATCACAGATGCAAGCGACAAGTATTTATAACGTGGATTCGTCCATATCAACAATTCAGCTGTTGCTAGGCTAGGTTTTATCGAAGGCAAAGTAAGGTGTCTCTCAAAATGTCATAAAAAATTTACAAAAGCACATGTGACAAGTAGCATAACAACGAGAGACAACTATTTATATGAGAAATGTTATAAACTTCACTTTCTTACACAAAAACACAAGGCCAGGAAGTAATGGCTTTATTATTGAAATTAGCAAGAAAAGGATAAAAAATAAGATAACTCAAGGAAACGTAAAGCCAAAATCTAACGAATTTGAAAGGCTGTTGAAGTCACCTGTGGATCGTATTTCAACTCCAGAAGCTGTAATCTAAAGGGGAATCAAACAATAAACCAAAATCGCATACCTTTCAGAGGACTTGTTATGAAAGTATCCCATCAATTCTCCAGTTGATTTCTGTAGACAAATGTAATAGAACCCAGAGGAGGGTTTCTTTTCATAGTTACTGATTGAATCAGGGATGATAAAGCCTTCTTTCCACCTCATGTAAACATGATCAAAGTTTTCCAATTGGGAATAGTCAAAATTGTCCCGATAGTAGTCTGGAAAACGAGCCATCACGTTGAGCTCATTCTTCCAAGGGAAGAATATGAGAAAGGGAATGCATGCCTACCCAGTGATTGGTGTCCGTTTCAGTTGAAGCACCCCACTTCCCAGTCGCAAAAGGAAAATTTCGACTGATAATCTCCCCACTGAAATAGGAGGTTGTGGCCCTCCCATTGTTCATAGCACTTTCGAAATTCTCAGAATCCTTAGAGGCTTTGTCGACTTTCATGAAACCACACAGAGTTTTAGCGCTCAAATCTACGGTCTATAGCAAGGTGAAAATAATAAAAAGGTACAAAATACCATAAAGGTCACATCAACGACATATTTCTTGCATCTGGAAATTTGGGATCCGGTGAAATGTGCCCCAGCCTGGATACAAGACGTACTCAGAGTGCTTTCGTGTAAAAACGGACAAGGTCCTAGATCAACCCAACTTGAAAACATATTAGAGGGATTCATCTCACGACTGTAAATAAAACAGGGTGAGTTAAATTCCTCATCGTGAAAGTATTTCATATGCAAATGAAATCTTAAGGAAGCATTAGATTGTTTTAGATATCATTTGCTCAAACCTTTTACTTTAAATCATAGGACTTACCAGTTGTTCAAGTACCTGAATGAAGAAAAAGAAATGTCAGATACGTCTAAAGGTTAATAAGGCAAAATGATACGCCATCAGAGATCGAAGTGGTCTCATATGAAATCAGACGGTTGCGACAGAGCAACAGCAAATGATTTCTAGAATTCGCCTTTACCTCATCATATGGTCAATTACAAACGTTAACATTTAAACTATTCGGCGGAAATGCTTAACAGAATTTAGAACGATAATTACTGCAATAAGCATAAATGAAAATATGAATGCCAAAGAAGTCACCAATTTACATTAAGTAAATACCCCCTTACTACATGACGGCATTAATCGTTTACAGAAAGCTAACCTGTGCGCAAAAAAACAACTGCCATTCCCAAAATTAAACCAAGACATCGGGCGATAAAAACGAAAAATTCAAATTCTTCTCTTTAAAAATATTTTAGTCATATTTCCTGAAGAAATATAATATAGGCTGCAGTTTACTTTATTAACATTAGTGGAAGAATATATAACCCGTCTCAGATTAAATGGACTTTTAGAAAAATTTTAAATATAAAGAAGAGCATAAATACATTAGCATTCATGGTCTGAATGGTAAACAAGTAGCCTTATAATCAATTAATTTCTTTTTGTTATAGTTGATTTTTAAGGTTACAGTGCATCTTAGTTTCGTGGGTACTGCCTTTGAATCTTATTTTTATGAAAGAACTTGCGGAAGCAAGCGCAGACAAATCTCTTGAGATATCTTTTGAGGATTCTTTATGCTGGTTAGATCATGATTTTTCTCAAATTTTGCATCGAAATTCAATTACCGGTAAATGCATATAAGTTCAATTTATGTTTGAAGACGGGACCATTCCCATTTTAAATTTTCACGATTTACGACAAATGGGCATGATTGTGCCTGATAACAGGTATAATATCCCCCTCTTCAAGCCTTTTTAGTGCAATCCGTGATATTTATTGCAAGGGTTTGGAATTTGATAATGCTATTCTTACTTTTCTCAATGGTGATACGAAAACCAGAGTCAGCACATCATCCACTCGTGTTTAATCACCCTTCTTATTTGAAAAAATTTACTATTAACTGCGTCTTCTGTTATTTTTTTACATGATTACTTAGTACTCTTATTAGGTTAATGGCATTTTTAATAGACTATGGAATCCGTATATAAACTTGGTGAGCGTGGTTTATCAGTCCCGATGAAACTTCATCAGGAAAATCGCTCCAAACTTTGTCAACGTCTTCGCGATCTGTGGTCATCTGGAAAAGCTCCAACTAAGATTCTTGATGGAGTTTACGTTCTTCTTCAAGGTGGAACACCTGTTATGCACGGAGGTTCGGATGTTGAAACTGTCTTTCGTCAAGTAAGTGATATTCTTTGGTTTATTTTATTCTTTGCATTCCCCAGGAATCCTATTTCCATTGGGCATTCGGGGGTTTGGAACCAGACTGGTATGGCGCAATCGAAGTTGCTACTGAGTGTGCTGTCCTCTTTGTTCCAGAGATTCCTGAAAATGCCGCCGTCTATATGGGTGAACCCCTTACTTTAATTGATATCAAGAGCCGGTATGCTGTTGATGCTGTTCACCATACACACAATGTTGGTTTACCCGTTCTATAATAAAATAATCTGTTTTGTTTTCGCTCTTAATTCTCTTATTTAAATAGATCTTTAAATTCTTCTCTGAGAAGAATCCGAGTTTGCTGCTAACGTTGGTATGTGATTTTAGAAGTCTTTTGCTGTTTCTTTCTCTTATGTATTGGGTATTTTGCTCAATAGAATGGCATGAATACGGACAGTGGGTTAATGACAACGGAAGCGTCTTTTCAGGGAATCGATAAGTAAGTATAATTTTTTCTCCGGTTTCATTCTTTTCTTTGCACCGTATGTCGTGTAAACTTAATAATATTACCACTTGGTCTCGGAGTAATTAACACTTCTCCAATACCGTCTTGGTGTCAGCGAAAGAGTTTCTAGGGGTTTTAATCTAACTGCAGTTTTACTGACCTCTACCAGCGAATTCAACCAAGTTGCCACAGCATAGATAATTCTATATTTCCGTTGAATGAACGAATGGCTAACAGAAAGCGAAATTCCCACCAATGGGGTTGCAGAGTGTCTGAAAAACCACCACGCAAAGTCATTCAGGTGTTTGATGGTTTCTGTCAGACTGGGTTTCATTTGATCTCTAGTTCCACTTTGGTCCATATAAAGTGCGCTCTGGTCATTTCAACTCCTCCTACTACTACTACTAGGAGCTCTCATCATCCCGATTTATCAGTCTTGTTAAGAAATAGGCTGGATGTAATAGGTAATCAATCGGACTGTCGGGAGTAACCACTTTGTTTTGATGACTCCTTAATATTCGATTGCATGAGTTCTTTAAAATTTACTTTTGTTCTATTAGATTCAAAGTGGACAATAGTGTTCTCCACCACGAAATATCTGAATGGTGAGTCAGATGCCTATTTGAAGCCTCCAATTCACTTCAATGGTTAGTAAGTATTTCAAATTTCGCACTACTGTCTCACATTTCCTTCATCCCATTCACCAATCGCGCGATTCATGCGTCTTAGCGATAATATAGTATTCGGTAGTTCGACTGCGTTAGCACCTATTCTTTAAATACTCAACGTTGTCGCATCATTTTCGTCATGTTCTCGTCAACAACTCATGTGTTATGCGTTTTCAGCGAATTTTAAGCTTATTTTCATGTTTCTGAATGGTGCATATCTGTTTATGTTTATACACACTTGCTACGCCCAAGAACTTTGATTTATCAATGTACTTATTCCTAACTAGAATTTCATTATTTCTAGCCCTCAAAGATTTTTTTCAAGCTATCAAAAAATGTGGAAAGTAAGTTTTTTTAAATCCTCGTCTAGCTTTCTGCAATCGTAATTTATTCCTAGTGTTTGAATTTTGCTTTTCACATTTACCCTACATTATGCCACCTTCGAGATAAAACACAACATTTCAAATGTGTGTAGGGCAATATATTTACTCTATATATTTACTTGTAATTTCCTATCTTGAACTGTTCCTCTACTTTTGAGATATTCTTTCAAATTGAGGTCGAAGTGGTTTACTCTCTCGATGTAGTGTCCTCTATCTCGATTAAAGCTGGTACAGCATTTGGCTTGAACTTTGGATGGATACAAGTTAAAGCTTATTGCAAAGTTTTTCTCTGTGATTTGGCTACAGCTGTATATGGTGAAACCCGAATTGCTCCACCTGTAATTTGGCAAAATATCGAACGAAATAAAAGCCTTTGAATGTTAGGCTTCTTCTAACCGGTTGGCAGATTTGTCCAGAATAGCTTTGTCAGCGGGGGGTGTTCGTCTGCATATTTGTGCCAAATGATGTGTAGATTGTCGATTGTTTCTCCCTAGCTTTTTTCGTCGGCTCATACGAAGAGCTGCTTTTGTGTCCTTTTAAACATAATAGACGATATTTAAAGGCAGTAACGATTTGTCACACCATAGTTGGAGTTCTTCCTACTAAATTAGCACCATTACAATATGGCAGGTTACGCCCGGAGGCAGTAGTTGGATAATTTTATGGCTTACAATGGATAGTTAACGCATAAGCATTCGGGATAAACATACGGGTATAGTTTACTCCAAATACTGTAGACTGCGAGCTTATGAAGTAACGCCCAAGCCTGTCAAACGCTGGAGCTAATAAAAGTAAAAGGAAGGAGTCATATGGATGTCTCAAATATTGATGTGGCTTATGATAGAATACGCTCTCCAACTTCGTGTTTCGGTGGCTAGCGGTTAGCTTATGGTTCTGTTAAGTCAAAAGTCACGTGATTGTTTCGTACTCGCAAATTTGAATGACTAACCCCGATTAGCCGCGATTTTCTAGTTTAGAAAGAGTTCTAACTTGTTTCTCTGTTCATACTTTTGACAAATACATCCCTCAATGCACTTGAACGTTATTGAATAACTAATTGGTCAAAGTAAGAGGAGCGTACTACACGACGACCAAATTTGTAGCTACGTAGGGGGATGTTCGCTATTCAACTGTTTATTCGCTACAATAAAGCAAAATCTGTTGAATGAGGGGCTGTATAAGTAGCCTATGTTGAGTCTTGTTTTTTTGTTATCAGCCGCCTCATAAAAAGTCCACTTGAGTTAGAGGTGATTCGTTATGCCGTGTCAATGAGTTCAGCAGCTCATCGCCATTTGATGCGCAAGGTGCGACCCGGAATGTTCCAATTTCAAGCGGAGAGTATCTTCCAGCACTATTGCTACTTCTACGCGGGAATGCGACATGTTGCCTATACCTGCATTGCAGCAACGTAAGTCCCTCTTGGTTAAATTTTTTGTTTCTATGGCAAGAAATACAGAATCATATAATGGAATTAGGGCTACCATGCAGTGTTCTGCTTACGAATAGATCCTACTTTACAGTACTCCAAATGGTGGGTAACATCTACTTCTAAGAGAGTGATCCAGAGCCCCGGCGCTTGAACACTTTAGTTAAGTTATATCCGTTTTATCGTAAAATAAGATGGAAAGAAGCTGGGTTACGTTCAATGCGGTTAACTTTATGTAGTCGTCACCATTCGAAATAAATGACATTTTTAAGTCAGAATAGGATTACATTGGCCTTGATCTAATCCCGTGACCACATTGTATTCTCTATACTCGGTTAATGGCTTTTCATAATCGAAGTCACAGTGTCTAACCAATGCAGCTCTCGATATCAATGTTGACTTGTTTTTTTTAGAGGCTGTGACTGCGCAATCCTCCACTACGGTCACGCTGGAGCTCCAAACGACCATAAAATCAGAGATGGTGACATGTGCCTTTTTGACATGGGTGGGGAGTATTACTGCTACTGCTCTGATATTACATGTTCTTTCCCTGTGAACGGGAAATTCACAGCTGATCAGCGACTCGTCTATGAGGCCGTTTTATGCGCGGTAAAGTGAGTCAAGTTTTAGCATTACTTAAGGGAGTTAAGTTACTACGATTTTCAACGTTCATTTTCTGGGACACATTTACAGGGCGGTCACAAGCAGACTTCGGCCCGGATTGAGTTGGGTAGAGATGCACAAGCATGCTGAAAGAGCAATGCTGGAGCATCTGAAGAAGGGGGGTCTGTTGAGAGGCGATGTGGAAGCAATGATGGGAGCTCGACTTGGAGCCATTTTCATGCCCCATGGCTTGGGCCATCTTATGGGATGTGATGTCCATGACGTTGGCGGCTACAATCGTGTAATTACATCTTCACTTTCTTGGTGGATGTATCACCACTGATTATCATTATCTTGAATTTCTTTAGGGAGCCCCGATTAGGTCTGACGAGCCGGGGCTGAAGAATCTGCGGACTGCTCGTGTCGTGCAAGCGAATATGGTTCTGACCGTCGAACCGGGTTGCTATTTCATTAAGAGATTGATCGATCACGCTAAATCAGATTCGAGACTTAACGGATTCTTAGTAGTTGAGGCGATTGACCGGTTCTCTGATTTCGGAGGAGTAAGTTCATCTCCAATTTAACTCAACTGGCATACAATTTCTTGGATTTGGTGCTTAATTGTGTCTCTTTTAGGTAAGAATTGAAGAAGACGTGGTGATTACCGAGAGTGGTTGTGAGGTACTTTCAGATGTGCCAAGAACAGTAGAAGAAATTGAAGACTGGATGTTACGTGAAAGTACTGAATTTGATAATTTGGACTAAATTTTTGACCACTTTCAATCTTATGAAATTAAATATAAAATTTTAATTCGTATTTTTTCTCATTGTTTTTAATTTCCCTTAAGAAACCACAGGGAGGGTGGTTCAGATTTCATTTACCTTAAAATCAACCTCAGGCCATGGTGGTATAGGTTATTTGGAATCCATGAATTTCAAGCAGGTGCATTATTCCAAGACTCAACAGTTATGCAGCGATCAACTCTGGGTGCCTTGTTTGCAGTCTATGTAAATAGACAAAGATGAATTTACTGGTAAATGTATTACTGTTTTAATCTAAGCAAATCTATCGATTTCGAAAGGCACTATAGTGTTATGAATTCCTGGTCAATTTTGCATTAGACGCATTCTCCAACATGGATGCATTATTCATATTAGGACAGCTTTGTCAAATCTCAACGGTGAGGAACACGAATTTCGTCACATGCTTTATCCAGATTCAACCATTGACATTGGTCATTACACTTACAGGGTGTGCATGGATAGGTCTCGAATTCATAAACTCTAATCTTAACTTCAAACTTCATTCTTGTATAGAAAGGAAAACGCAAATATATTTTTCCCAAGTGATTCTGCATCATCCTCTGAGGGGCACGCTTGAACCGTGTCAACCCCCAATGAAATATCTGCTTGGGACGTTTCAGTTAGGCTAGTTTCAAAATAACTTTGAAATTAGGTCCTTATATTTGGGCCTATGTTTCCTCTGCAAAAGCATAAATGATTGGATGGGAGATGAAAAATCTAGGCACAGGGATAACCTCCTCGAAAGCAAGAGATTAATTTTATGCTTCGACGTGCTCTTCGTAACTCCTTCGTCTATATGCTTCGGATTTTCTGTTTTAATCCTCAAATTTCTCATTTTGGATGTTGGTTTCGGCATACTTTGCACTGATCACGAAGTTTGTTCGATTATTAGAAATATGAACACGACACTATGTGAAAGATCGGATAAGAAATAAGTAAGCAAGGGGAAAAACTATGCCGCTTGTAAAATCTCCATAAAATCAACTTTAACACTACGAAATAGCTTTTCGTACCTTCATCTGCTACAACACTTAGCCTTTTGCTGAAAGAGCTCTTCCTTATCTTCGCCAGATTTCTACTTCCTTAATTCATTCAGATAAAACTCGGGGCTAAAGAAAAGTAGAGCACCACGAACGTAGGAAACGGATAACACACTTATACAACTATAGCGACAAGAATTCACTTCAAATGATAATGAACCCGACTGCAAACAGATGGGTTAAACGATCCGACGGTTAACAACGTGCGATCATAAGTGAAAATCTCGAAGACTTGATTTCATTTGCACCGGTGAATCAACATTTTTAATGACTCCAGAGGGAAAATGTATAGTTTGAAAGCACTGGTGTATGAACTCATAGTTTGCAACTGATTATAACACATTTGACTGACTACAGTTGTAAAGGATCGTGGTAGAAAAGATTAGACTGCCACCAGTATCTGGAAAACATGGATGCTGGAAAAGCAGACTACATTTGTAGGGGAAGAGGAGAATTATGGGAATGGCAATTCAATGAGATGCAAAAGAGTAATTGTTTGGTACAGAAACCATTGGTCATTGTTATCCACACTATCCTGTTAGTGAGAATAATGCAATATATATGTATTCTTACCCTCACAATTCAGCTCATACTCTATTGGTGAGATGTTCAGTCCCTTAAACCCCACCTTCTACCTACAAGAATATATGCCCTTGCCTTGTCTGTAAATATAGACACGTAGCTTCAATGATATAGCCACCTGCAGAACCCTACTTCCCATGCGACCTTCTCTCATAATTCCAGAACTTCTGTCGGTAGGCCAGTTTGGCACAACCATTTTCTTATTTGCTCTGCTGTTTCCTCGAGAGCGGTTGAAAATTCAAAGGAAACGAATAGCCCTATAACCTGAACCAAGCTCATCGAAACAAGCCCTACTCTAGACTAGTCAAATCGGAACAGTGGTTAGCGCATTGCTACGACATAGATACTATCAAGTAGCCTTGCACATTTGGACTTAATAGTAGCAACAGGAACATGGATCAGAAGGAAGGATTTCTGGATTAGAGCTAACCCGCTTCTTTTACGAAAGGTGAAATCACATAAGTTCTGAGCGGGTTTACAGGTCAGGGCATTTAACCCTGTCATATTGAAGCTCTTGACAAATCGGTAAGCACTACAACGGACCCCGAATCACCTTCAAGACCAAAACTTAGTTCTCTTACACCTCAAGTTGTTGAACGTAAGAAAGTCGAGTTATATATAAGGGGAAGCAACTTAATACGCAGCGGAGAGAGCCAACATCAGAGGAACACTTTCACAAGAACCCTAGAATAATCAAAATTAATATCCATGAGCACATTCAGTAGTTTCGTCATCATTATAAACAGAAATCCGAACAAACACGTTTACTTGATTTCGCAGTTTTATCTTTCACATTTTGGTGTGTGCGATAGGATTACCTCCACGTGATGCACACTGGGCAACGTATACTCACAGGGCAGGTCTATTAACCAGCAGTTAACTTCTGACGTCAAACTACCATCACCCCACTCTATGTCATATTCGACAACTTCCACAGTACTCTTTTTACCATTTTTACTTCCTTTGTGTCTGTCTCTTACATCTTTGAAACACTCTTCTGCTCCCTCCCCCCCATCTCGACTTCTTTCACTTTGATATTCCCTCCACTCTGTAAAACCTGAAGTCAACTAAATGGCCAATGATGACTATCAAAACGCCTGCCATTTGGAATAAATCTTTCACATTTTGGCTTTTCTCTTTCCCTTGAAAAACTTCCAGTTTAGGTGGGTGAAGGCATATGGGAGAAATGCAATTTCACTGAAGCATTCGTAGCTCTCCCTCTCGCTTCTCTGATCCTCATCCTCGAGAGCACGTTTTCACTCTCACATTGAGCTGTCATTGCCAACTTCTATTTTGCTTCGTACTTCTTCAAGGTGGTCCAAACCGAGGCCACACGCCTCCTTGCCTGGATCCTAATTTCATAATGGATATTGTAATGGGGTGAAATGAAGAACAAGTGTTTCTTATAAGTAAGGATACAGGGCGTTGTTGCAATTGGCGCCACAGTCAAGAATGGAATAAGCTAGCCACTACCAGATCAGAAGAGCAGCTAAAGGATTAGAATGATGAACAAGTAATATTGCTCAACAAATGCAATATCACTGTGACTCCCACAGGTGCATTTAATCGTAACGCAACAGTGTACTGATGCACTAACTGTAGTGCCGGGGTTCTCGCAATTTCGTGCATCGCAGCAACCACCCGATAGAATTTATTTAAATTAGCGTAGAGCCCACCATGAGCGAAGGACGCTTATCTAAGCACAATAAGTCAGGATATTTGAGCAAATGGGACTGTTAATCTAACCATTTTTATAGCAACTGTAGATTTTTTTGCTTATAATTTTAGCGGAATTTCAATAATTGATGGCGTCACGAGCCCACATCGTAAATCCTACACGACTTTTGATACTGGGGTAAAAGGAAAAACCGAAAATACAAAAAAATATTAAACTTAGTTGTCTCCAACAGTCCCTTTTTTACATTCGCGTATACTACGAGAAATGAAAATGCAAATTACTTAATGTAGGTGATATAAATACACAATGGAATTCAATGAAATATAGAATAAAACTGATTAATTGTGTAACCCAAATGAAATGATAATACCCATATTTCTCGACATAGTCGAGATTAAATGTAGGAATGCTCATTAACAGAAAACGCATAAACGTCCTGAAAGCATACATTCCAGATTAAAAAGTCGAGAACTGATCGAATTTGAAACCGATATAATGATGCTTTTATTGACATATTACAAATTATGCTGACTTGACCTTTGGACGCATGTTCTTAATCGTTTCAAGGGTACTCTTCCTGTGACGATAGCTAGCAATAATATTGTTCCTCTGAAAGAAAATAAAATGAGTATTTAGGTGGTTTAATATTTTAATAACCAGTTTGCCAAAACATAAATCAGAAAGAAGTTTTCAGCAAAAGTAAGACGGCTCTTCAATTCATCATGTGAAAGTACATCGACATTCTATAAATTACCTGTTTGCGTGCGACCATCACCTGGAATCGCTGGAAATCGTTAAGACCAGAGCGTCGTTCCTTCTTGGCCAGCTTCTTAGCCCATGCGGACTTTTCCCATAGTTTGCCAATATTTTGCCTGTGCCAAAGATCCTGAATACCTAGAGTACCGCAGTTATCTGGCAGCTTCATGACAAACTTCGTCAAATGAAGCCGCTTTAAATTGACTGGGCGACGAGGAACACCGTGGCAAGGCCCATCAATTACAACTCGATTTTGATCGATGATGTCAACAATGACGGCAACTTTTTTGGCATAAGCGCCGTGAGTGATAAAAACCACCCGTCCGCGTTCGACAAACCGTGTGTACTTCATAACTTAAACGAACCAAGCCAGGCTACACGAGTAAACACCCCGAAATTGCGCGAAACCTCTATTGATTATTTAAAACAAAATTCATCTATTGTTGAAAGATACTGGTGCAATTTGAAAGGAATCAACTATTTATATTTTAAATATTTTTTAACTTTGTTACATTGGGGTGAATAGTGTATTCCCAAGCATACATAGGATATGTAATTTAATATGTAATTCTCCGTGTCCATTTTTTTCTTGTTCATATTATTCGCAGTCATATATAAAATATTCTGTTTAAATATAATTTTGCATATAATTTTGGATATTGTTGAATATATACAAAGATTTTTAACGTAATCCGTAATTGTTTACCCTAATTGACTTAGATCCTGGCCTCTCTTATCCTAACCTGATAAATGTTATTTTTAACGAATAACATATTGATTCCGAAAGATCATCGCTAATATGTAATATTATTCATTATATCTGAGTTGAAATTTTTGTCAAATTTTGGGCACATTTTCGATTAATTTTATACTTTACAGGTTTCTTATTCATTTCTGCAACAAATTTATTTATTAATTATTATTAATTAATATTAAGGTAGTTGCATTGTTGAGGCTTTCAGTTAGAAACTCGAATTCTTTCAACCCCTTCAATGGACTCTTCTGAAGATGTTCGAAATGCAGTGATCGAAGAAGTTAACGAGGCTTATCCCCCGCAAACGGCCAGATAAATCTTGCCTCAAAAACAAATGAAGAGATGGATGCTTGAATATTCACAAATATTTCCACCACCATTGCTGCGCTTACAATTTTCGTTTGTGCAAAAAATGGTTTGAAATGCAGCAACAATAACTCCATCTGCGAAAATTCGAGTTAATTTTTCCTTCACAGTTTTTACGTACTTTAAATTTTAAACGTAGTTCAAACTACAATCCCCTGAGTACTCTAAATGAGTCATTAGTTGACTAAATTTACTCTATATTTAAGAATCTATTTCGCATCAGGACACTATATTAGTTAATTAACTTTTTGCTATCTGCGCATTATAGTATTGGTAGAATTAGGGGGTATGCTGAACCTCAGAATTTTTTATTATTATGCCCCCATGAACTGTTTTAAGAGCATTTACTAAAAAGGATGTCGATTGTTAAAATTTTTGAAGTTGAATATACTCAAGAACTCCGAATCAAATGTGAACGCTACTTCGTGCATCTCAATCTCAAATAGTCCAGGTCTATTCAAATAGTTTTCGAATTCTCACTACTACAAGCAGAGTCTTTTGTAATATTACAGGTATTGGATCATCATCTGCAAACATATATGAGTAGTTGTAGTTCACATTTTCATCGATGTAGATTAAAGTGTAAATATGCTTCAGGGTATTTTGAAATTCAATAAGTCAAACACTGTTTCCTTTTGAATTTTCTGCAGATTATTCCATAGAGGTTGTTTTCAGGAGAAATATCCCATTGTAGTAGACATTTAAACGAGCGGATGTGTAAAATATGTTATTTTAAAGACAAATTATTCTTACGCTGGGTTGATTTTGTCTTTAATTTCCTTTGATCAATATTGCCTTCACCAAATCGATCAAAATTCTTTTATGGTAGCCGACATTGAACTACACAGAAAATTTTCTTTATCTTTACGGTAACTAGAGTATACTAATGACTTTTCTATTCGTTTTAAAGTAATAAAGCATCGTGTATGGATGATTTTTCAACTTTATCAATTAATTTAACGATAAAAAATTTATGAGGTAATGTTTCAAAAGTCGGATACTTATTAAAAGCTCATTGGCTAATTTTTTGGCGATAAATAAATTGCATTCTGGCGCGGTAATTGGTTCAGTTACATTAGCTTTTTCCTATATTTTGAAATGGATTCGAAGCGGTGTGCCATTTTAAGTGACACCAACGAACTTTTACACGCTATTAAGTAAGATATTATTATTAAAATCCTATTTGCTCAGTGGTCATTCAGCTGATCCCGCTTTAGTAAATGCATATGCTGATCAGCTACTTAAAACGTCTAATTCCCGTTTGGGATCTCAGGTATTAGCTTAATTTTTCGGTCGAATAAATATTTTAGGTTAACGTGGAACAAGCAAAGCGGATTATATCAGAGAGCTGTCCTAATTGTGATGCATTTTTATCTAAATATAATGAGCTGAAGTCACAAAAGTAACCTTTATTTAATTTTTATCGTTCTGTAGTGTTCGTCAATTGGATCCTTTGGTTTTCCTTCTTGGTAAAATTAGGCGAGATCCGACATTAATGAAGAATCTTCATGCTCTAAACTCGGAAAACTCGAGTCTATCGGAGCTCTCCAATTTTGAGGTGAGCTAAAGCTCTTTTATATTATTATTTTCATTTCTAGTCATTTGACGAGTTGCAAATGCGCATCAAAAATACTAATTCTAATGCCCTGTCAGGAACGCTACCACAAAGTGATTACTCTGGTTTTGAGTCATATGGACATTTTCAGTCGCTCGAGAATACTCTTATTTCAAATGTAGATCATTCCGCTGTCATTAAGACGGCCGCTACAAAGACAAAGGACATCAAAGCTCATCGCCGAAAGGAGTATACTCTTTTTCCTCAATGGATGTATTCGACGCCTTTCCTTTCTGCGGATTTTTTACCGTCCAATTGTCTCACTGCAAAAGTATGAAGTTATATTTCTCTTTTTAGAGTTCTTGAACACTTGTTCACTTGAATTTTCTGTTAACAAATTTCAGCCACCCCATTTCGTACCCTTGGATAATCTTCCTTTGAATGTTCAGGAGCGACTCATTGTACAAGATCTTTTGTCATGCCTTCAGGTGTGTGTTTTAGCTTCCCCTTGTTAATATCACAATTTTGGGTTTACTTTCCTTTGGTTTTGTTTTCGCTTTATAGGGTTGTGATGGTGTATACATCAAAGCTCTTAAACTAGAAAACCCCCATGCTATGCGAAATTTTGCTATTGATGAGAAAATGCGTAAGATTTCGTATACATTTTTTCCGATTTTAGTGAAATTCTGTCTCTTTTCTACTTGTTTTACAGATCCCTCTCTTATGGATACAGTGAACAAAGTTGTTCCCCTTATTTCCCAATACTCCCTGATTGAACGATTTGTTGAAGGTATTGAAATATTTTAACCTAAGTCAGTTATGTTAATATGATCGATTCTATTTAGCTTAAATAACTTCAACATTTAGATCTAGCTGATTCGATTTTTACTTAAAATTCTCCATTTGAATGCCATGTCGACTGCAATGTCCTCTTTGTGTTGATGGTGGATTGCGAGTTACGTGTTCGATGACTTATGGCTTAAGCTCCTTTAGTAAGAGGTTGTGAAATTTTAAATGTAATTGCAGTAGTTCCCATCTCTATTAGATAAATAAGGCTTATGATTTGGCTTAATATGTGTGGCATTATTTACTTTATATACTCTTTTCTATATAAAAGGTTTTTGCCTTTTAAAGAGAATGGAATTGGTTTTAAGTATCAGAAGCTAATTTAACCCAGTAATTTATTATTCGTAGAAAAGTGTGTGGCTTAATTTGGTTCTGAATGTGGATATCAAAAAATTATTTTGCCCCTTCTATTAAAAATTATCCTTTACTCCGATTTAAAATTTTGCTTAAAATGAATTTATTAGAGTCAACTTCCATAACTGCCAACTAATCATGAAATTGATAAAATGAGATGCGTTGTTGGCGTATTTGTTTCGCATTTTTTACGTCTTATTGGATAGGGCCACATATTGAAACTCGTCCAAGGGTTATAACAACGCGTGACTCTTTTTCTACTTGCTAATAAATTATTATATTATTATCCTCACTTGTTGTCGTAAACAAGCATTAGTTTTATATCGTAACTAGAACAGGAAGAAGGCGGAAATTTATGCATGCTCATGTGCACCTTCGCGAATATTTATTTCATACGTGAAAGAATTATTTTGACCTGGACCGTTCTAAAAGCCATCGTCCAGTTATTTTATGTTATGTGGGTCTGTTGGACCCATAACCCAATGAATCAAAATTAATTTAATCACAAATATTTTTTGGGCGCTCTCTTGAACTATGTATAATTCGACCCTTTCACTGGTGCGATGCAATGATGTTGGAGTTGAACTCCGAAAACTACTGCCATTTTCCTTTACGATTATCTATTTTTGTAGAAAATTATTTACTAACCCCACTGCCAGTTGAATCGTGAGAGTCTTCTCTAGTGTATATTCTTTGTTAAGAAAGATATATTTAACTTTTAACTCTCGTTTCAGAAAAGGCATCCTATGGGTTTGGCCGGGTGGACCAAGCGTTGAGCGAAGCCCTTCAAGAAATTCTCCAAGAGAACTGGAAGCTCATTTGCCAATTGGATCAGGAGTATCGATCTAATCAACTTGGTGTTTCTCGTCTGCTTCTTCTCTTAAAGGTATGCATTTTTAAGAATCACCTTAATACTACAATGTGTTCTAGTGCCAAATTTTTTAGTATATCAATTTTACAATTGAGTAAGCAAACGTCCAGTTGCATTATTTTATGCGTTAGCTACGCACTCCAATGGAATGAGTAGTAATTATTCAACAAACGAAAGAATTATTAAGTGAGTAGAGTTTTGTATGTAATTTCATTAATTCTTCGATTTTTAGTCGCTAAATAATAACTGCAATAGTAGAACAATATAGTGCTTCTCACTCAGTTACTGATCTTCATTACTTTAGATGAAAAGGTTCCATTCTTTTGGGTTATTTGGATGCAGGGGAAAGTGAGTGAAATGGTTTCTCTTTTTTTAATTTACACCTATTGATTGACATCAAAAAATGGAAATGGAGATGTTCCTATAGCAAGAGATCAGTGATTGTAAAATCTAGTGCCTGTAGTTGTCAAAGTGCACATTTGCTAAATTAGAGGTCACAAAATCAATGTCCATCGGTGCAAAACCAGTGGGGTGTGTGACCAACCTAACTGGTTAATTCTGATCCACAAATGCTTTGATTGAATATGAGTTTCTCTTAAAACCTGCTCCAAGACTCCTCTCTACTCAAGCCAAGCGTTGTGGGTAAGTTTAATGGACTTGGAAAGTTTTCTGCTTAGATTCGAGAGTTTTCGAATATATAGGTTTTGTGTCCCATATTGGTTTCTTATCGTATTTAAAGCTGTGTGAATGAGAGCAATTTTTTCTGAATTTTATTATCTCTTTTGTACTTAAGGGAACCACCCAGGATATAACTATAAAATATCTATAACAGGCATCTTCCAGTGGTGTTTGCGAATTTTAAAGTTAAATAATTTTCCATGGTAAGGCAAAGGCATGGTAAGGTGTAAGAGTCGGAAAATCAGGAGAACCCTACATCGTTTTCGGGTCAACTATTTTCCTTAATTCTAAGTTTAATTCGACCTTTGTTTAGTAAATGAATGTGCGCAGTCATTTGTCTTGGAAATTATTTTGCTTTATTTTTACCTTTTAGCCGGATAGGCTTATATGCGTTTGCTATTCTTACATTAAGAAAAAAGAAATAAATCGTGTAAAATTCGTTAAATTAGACTGCTGGAGCCTTGCTTGACCTTCTGGTGGCACGCTCTGGGTCAAGTTTAGTAGAATGATATTTTGCGCTGACAGCACAACGCCTAACGCTTTCAGCCCTATGCAAATAAGTCTGAAAGTTCAATTCCAATTATCAAGATGACAGGTATTTAGTTCGCATGATATATATATTACCTCGAGCTAGACTCTCTCAGGGTATTGTCTCTCAAGTCATAGCTTTTCTAAAAGTTTGCAGGAATCACTTCTCATCGACTTAGAGATGGAAATCATGCTTAGTAATCAGCACAATTACAAGACAGGATAGCGATATTGACTGGCATGTGCAATTGTCTATTTTATAGTTGCTAAATTAATCCATAGGCAAAGTAATAAGACAAGACACATTTTATTTAATTCGCCAAATAATTGAAATCGAAAACTACCGTTGCAATTTATTACTAGTAAGCCACATGTTGCATTGTACAGAAATTTTGTGTTTATTAATAGAGAATTGAAAAATTTGTCTTAAATCTTCCTTAGAGCTATAGTGGGATCGGTTTTGTGTCAGTGATTCCAATATAATCCGCTGTTTTATTTATGAAAGCATTGTTCCTGGGCTTTCAGTTAAGAAGAGTCCTTTAAAATATGATATCGTTTGTGACTTCGCAGTTATCCTCGTTGTTATACTTTCTGACCATTTTTAGGAAACCGGCCATCTCTTCAACCAACTCGCTCTCCTTATCGCCAAAATCAACACAGGGGATTGCATTGGTGGTGCCACCTTGACCCTGCTCTACGAAAGTCTCAATCAAGTTTCTGTTATCGGTAGGGTTCATGACTGTATGCTCTACCTCCTCCGCGCTGCTTGTCAGCCTTTCTTCGAGTCCCTGAGCTCGTGGGTTTATCGCGGTATACTGAAACCAGAAGACGAGAAGTTGGGTGAATTCTTTATCACCAAGGTCTCGAATAAATTGCAGTCCGGTGCTGTCAGAGAAAATGACAGGGCTATGGAGTACATCAATTCAGCTTTCTTTTGGGATAGAAGTTACTGTATTCTCTCCACGCAATTGCCCACATTTCTTGAATCGCATGCTGAAAAGATTCTGGCTGCTGGGAAGTATCTTAATGTTGTTCAGCAGTGTGGTAAGTTAGTGGAAAATGCATTGTTTGCATACAAGGGAACACCATAGGTTTTAGTTCTCGCCACTGAGAGAGGAGAATGGGGATCCGGTAAACTGCTTTGCCCTGCATTGTTAAATCTATGCAATCTCGTGTCATTCTGCTGGTTACTTCGTATTCAAAAGAAATGTAGAAGCTACAAATCACATTTTTTGTTATTTAAAGACCTGCTATAGATGGGAGTAGAAGTAAACTCAATCTTGTCTGCTCCTTAATGCACCTTTTTTTATTTAATTGACTTATTGTCTACTTGTCTCTTTGGTGATAGATTTACAGTTTTATAAGTGAAGGTTTGATTACTTTTTTTGTAAGATTGGAACCATTGGAGAGTAAGGAATTTGGAAACGTGTGAGCTAAATACATTAGCGCTACAGGAACCTCTTTTTACTATTCAGGGACTTTGCTTTATTTCCTACTCTTTGTTTGTTTTCAAGAGTTGGATTATTATTATTTATTATCTAAGATCAAAGATTCTTGATTTATTTCAATTCTAATTATGTGTAGTTTACTCTTTTTACATTTTAGACAGTTCACAACAGTTGGCAGAACCTGAACCCCTTGTTTTCAGCGAAAATGAGCAGGACTTTTTGGCACCCATTGATCGAGCCCACGCTTTTGCCAGTCGCACTGTTCTCGATTTTATTCTCAAACAGAAAGATCTCAAAGGCATTCTTAAGTGAGTTCACCTTTCTTATTTGACTAATTAACTTATCTTTGGGTGAATCTTTTCACTTTGAACTTAAAATCTTGGCTGGGTTCTTTTGCGTGTAAATGCTCATGAGTTTTTCTCCATTGTGAGTGTATAGAACTCGAAACTAAATTTGTGCTGATCGAGGAATATCTCATTTGAACTTTCAATCTATTCTCCCATTCAGGTCTCTACTGAAGTTGAAACTTAATGTCGTATTTCGGAGGTTGTTGGATGTGTCTGGGTGAAGGAAGCTATGCCATACTTTCAGTTTTTTTCTACTCGGATTCGGTTGTAGCTTAGATTATCGCAAGCACATTTCACATGATTTCTATTGAAGCAAAAGTGCACATTCATTGGGAACCTAAGATGCATCTATCGAGCAGAGAATTTTGTGGTGCTTTTAATAACTACTCTTTGATACCCACCATCTATAATACTTTATCTTTGTATCATTTGCCTCAATTTCACTCTTTCACTTCTTTTTAATTGCCTAGTTATAATACTTGAGTCTTACTTTGTGCTTTTTCATCATGTTGTCTGTAGAAAATGGACTCTATGATAGTTTCGCTATTTGGTCATCTTGTCTTCATCTGCAAGTGGAAAGGTTATCGAGTAGAAAGAAAAAATGACGTCGCGATATCAAATAGATGACCAAGCCTGCTATTCATTTTCAGGTCACATGCTATTTATTTCTAGGGTTTAGTTAACTACGTCACATTCTACTTCTCTATTGTTAAAATTTCTTTACCTATTCTTTTTGAATTAATGTCTATAACGGTGCCTTGAGCTCATTGACCAGTCGACTTATTTGTTTGGCTAGTCACGCAGCTTACATATTTCTCCGTCGGCACTTCGCGTTTATTTGACATTTTGATTAAATTAGCCTTTTTTAGATGACAACATAGTAAGGAGTTATACCTTTAATGTTCAGGTCAATAAAACGCTACTTCCTTCTGGATCAGGGAGATTTCATTGTCCACTTTATGGACGTGGCTGCGAATGAGCTGAGGAAGCCCATTTCGCGTAAGTTGCAGTTGTTATAACACACCACCGCATATATCGACATTTTTTGTTTGTGAATTATGTTTTCTTTTTCGTTTACCTTTGCAGAGGTTTCAATCAGCGCGCTGAACTCCCTCCTTGAATGGGTTCTCCAAACAAGTTCGGCCGTTTGTGATCCCTATAAGGATAACCTTAGGTTTTTTTTCAATTGATTACCTCTATGTTTTATTACCTTTAGTTTGATTTTTATTTTCTTGGCAACCTCGATATGAATTGTTATAGTGGGAATGGTTGATAACCTGTGCGACTTTAGACTACTACTACTACTTTAGACTGGTCAAGAGAACTATTTGTTTACTCGTCTTATTAGTATTGAGTGATATTCCTCTTCATTTCATATCGGTTTGAAATGAATTATTTTATCCAATAAAAATTAAGATAAATTAATGTTTTAGAAAAGCTGAAGAGAATTGCTCTGCATGGAATCTGACTAGTTTCAATTAGTTGGTGTGTAACCATGAGACACATTTAACGGACACTCACATAAAAATTAACTTTAACCAATGATCAGTCAGTGTTAAAACAAATTTGGAAATGGGATAGCGCTAGACATATTTATTCCGTGAACACTCAGCGGTTCACTCATTTCGGGAGAGCATATTAGCGACCTTTTCAATCTCCTAATAACGGCACCCAACTTTTATGAAACATCTTGGCTCTCGTGACACAGTTGTTAACCTGCCTTTATGCAAAATCGGTGTTCACAAGATCATTTCCCATTGGTACGCATCCACCTGTGTGTAGTGACTACGATACTGGAACATTTTGATCAACAGAAGGGTAATGTAATGTTATCATTTCTCCCTAGATGCTTGGGAAGTCTTTTGGCTCACGATTACTAATATAACTTAAACACTTCATCCGTGTTTTTTCTTTCATAACTTGTTTACTTGATAATTTTCATTGCCTTTCATAACTCTGCCGACTATAAAAATAAATTAAAATTAAAATTTGCTGTATTTCAAATGGCATTACACTTCATCTGCATTACTCTAATATGGCGTTTATTGAGTGTTTCTTTTTTAGAGTGGCGAGCACAAACTGTGATTTGATAACGCAAATATTGACGCTTCAAGTGGGAAACAATGGTACGTGTTGGAGTTGTGGTTTATTAACTGGTGTTGTTGCTGTTGTTGTCTATATCGTAACCTTTGTCCATGTTGTGCATATTTCTATCCTATTTTGTAGGTGACGATACATCGTGTGATGGTATTTTAACGCTAACTGTTTATCCCCTCTTGTTGTTTGATATTGCACTTATTTGGAGGCGGCTAAATGGTGATTGTTTTGCATGCCGTTTAATGTTTTTCACTCAACAGTTGTGCTCTCTGTCCGTGTGTAGTGGATGCCATCTTATTACCACCCCATATTTTTCCCATCTGTCATCGAACTATTATTTCCTCTATCAAAACTAAAGATCGTCTTTATTCAAGATAAAGCGACTCATAGGATGAGAAGGGTAATTGAGTTTTAAGTGAGGCTCAGTTAATCTGGATAACTCTACTTCATTTGAGCTTATATCGCCTTAATTTTATTCGAAAGTCATGAGTTCATGTAATCTAGCAGGCTTCCAAACTTTAGATAATTTTTGTAATGCCCATCCGCTGTGTAGAGGGGTCTGCCAATTAGCGAATCATCGTCGGTTTTACGGCGAACGGTGCCCTCTAAGGTCTTCTTATCTCGTATGCATTTTCAGAGTCATAGCACGAGAGTCTATGCTCACAATTACTTTTGTGCGCGTCAATCTTTCGTTTGGAATTGGTGTTCTATTAAGTTATTGGTCAAATTCTTCGTTATATTTCCCGCTTTAAATGCCTTTCCACATAAGGTTACTTTAGCTAGCTCTCTGTCTAAGGTTTCAAAAGCATCATCTCTTCTGAAATAGCCATTATTGACTGTCCTATTATCGATTTTGTGCTTGCAGAATAAACGTTTTTTTGCTCATATTCTTGTCAGTTGCGTTGTCAGTTTAAATTAACAATGGTAAATTTAATACATTTCTTGTGGAAAAGCTTTAAATACCATAAAGTGCTCTTTTTATATACATAGTCAAATTGTATAGGACTCCAATTACACATCCATTTCCCATTTTAATTTCACAGGTGACACCATTGTCGATGTGGATCCAAGCACCTTAGAAGCATTTTCCTTGGATTACATTGTCGACTGGCCAACTGTGCTTGTCATCAATCGCCTAGTACTTGATCGATATCAGCTCCTTTTCCGACATCTATTTTACTGCCGGCATGTGGAACGTCATCTCTCTTCGTAAGTATTAACCCTATTAACAAAGTCACCGGAATATTCTTTATCGCTGAATAACGGAAATACTATATTGTTTCAGGTCCTGGGCAATGCGAAAGGCTGCAAGACGTGCAACAGACGTTGGTGCATTAGCCTTCAATACTGCCTTCATTCTGGGTCAACGAATGCTCACTTACATTCAAAGCCTGCAACACTACATGACCATTGAAGTGATTGAACCTAACTGGCAGGCCTTCTACCAGTTTCTGAACAAGGTGAGCGCTGACGACTTAAATCTACTTGAATTGCACATCTGTGTAGTTTATATGGTTTTGCTCTTTTGTAGGCAGACAACCTGGACGAGGTGCTAGAGGCCCACGAAAAGTGCTTGGAGTATTGTATGGATGATTGTCTCCTCACATCTCCTGACCTCTTAGCTCTAGTGGGCAAGCTCAATGCAATCTGTATTCAATATGCCAATTGTCTGAATCATCTTGCTGATGCTAGTCTAGATGACACTCTGGAAAGTGTTCCAATGAGCTCCGCTGCTTCAATGCATCACCTCAGTCATCCCCGACGTGTTGGTGTTTCAGCTTCGACTTCCCTCTCAAATCTTGCTACTCCACTGGGTACTCTAAAGCGTCGTACATCCGTTGCAAGTAGCGATGGAGGAAGTCTGTTTAGGGGTGCAGATAACTCCTCAAACTCGGGCTCAAATCTGGATTCTCGAAGGCGGGTCAGTTAATACTCCGTTCCATTAAATTCAAATTTAAATATAGGTTAATGATGGAGTATTCTTTCTGTGAGTTATAGGTGGCAGCTTCGGATCTTGGTAATGTTGGGGCGAATGAGCAATTCGCTATTGCCGTGGACCACTTCAGCACGAAATTCAACGATCTTATTGTTAAGTTGTTGATAAAGATCCGACAGTCTGTGGATAGAAAAAGGGTTAAGCTCCACAGCTTGGCTTCCAGGTTAGTTATCTATTGTTTTTTTTTCGTATTTTTTTATAAGAGTATGCCTTGTGCTATATTTACTATCAGCAGATATTCGCTGATTTAACAACACAACCGAGTTTATTCTGGTTAAATAATTATTATCGAAAGTTTATTATGTCGTAGCTACGCCAATTCTCAGTTTTAATCGAAATATTTCATTTATAACAGACTAGACTACGATGGTTTCTATACGCGTTACAGTTTGGAAAATGCTAATCAGGATGGCTCAAAGTTTAAAAGTCTAATCTTTGGTCCAGGTGGTCTAGGTGGACCAATTCGTCCCTCCTTGTCAATGAGCAGCATAACAACCCTTGATAGCGCTATAGTCGGTCCGCCTCGTCGTTTGGTTGGGGAACGAGGCGGAGTGGGGGATGAAGAAACTCTTTCCCATCTACGTATGCCCATTCCCTTAGTTTCTTCAGGCTCTCGACAGAAGCAATTGTTGACGCCTGGATCTATGCTTCCTCCAGCGGCGCCCCAACCTCAGCCTAGAGAGCGTCGAAATTCCCAACTGCTCACATCCAATGGTTCCGTCCACTGACCCATATGATCACTACGCACTCCCGACCGTCATTTTTACTCATACTCAACCAGAGTCAGTCCTGATGCACACATTCACTATTCCTATTTTATTGTAAAATTAAGGCAAGACAACAGCTGTCGAATGATGATATTTGTAGTTTGTGCACTTTTTTGTTTTCTTTTGTACAATGGGCAAATAATAGAAGGAAATACAACTTTATCAATTTTTTCTATTTGTGGGTTTCTTTCAATTTACTTGGTTTCTTCAGATTATGATTCAGTTCTAGAGTTACCATATAATTGGTTTACTGTGATCATCAAAAAATACGGGAGCGAATGGTGGCATGTCGAATATAATTCCATAACCTCTGTGCGCAATGAAGTGACGAAATAACCTTCCTGAGGTAAATACGATGATGGGATAATTTGAAAGAGCCAGTTCATTAAGTTTAAAAAACCTATTATTTAATTGAGTGGTAGGATGTGTTCATCTAAAATCTGGGAATTCGGAGCGACAAAGTTGGCAAAACCAGGCGTACAAAATTAATTCTCATAAAGAGAGAGTTATTTATCAAACTTCAATGCCAGAATCTATAAACGTTTTTAGGCATAAGCTTTTACCAATCTATGGTCACTAGCTCTATTCATTGATCTCTTATAAAAATGTTAATACATGTCTAACTTCTATTTGGCCTTTTTCCGCCATGATATGATAATACTGAACACTTCTAAATGGTAATTCCATCTATTCTAGTAATTGGATATATTTAGTCTTATATAATGCAAACTTATCCTAAATGAGTACTGACACAATTTTTAGTTGACTCAATTACCACCTTTACTTAGGTCTATGCATGACTCATCATTTGGATCGTCAATTGATTATCGATTTTCTGACATACCCTTTACTGAATGCTCACCTTCTGGGTTTAATAGTCGCATACGTGAAGAGTCGTGACATTTCCCCAGAAACTCGGTTATTCTCGATGTATCGAGATAACCGATCAGATTCTGTTAAATATTAAAACAATCGAGTTATTTTTGGGTGAAAATACTATTTGCTTATATGTGGTACGCATCGATGTATCGAGATAACCGATCAGATTCTGTTAAATATTAAAACAATCGAGTTATTTTTGGGTGAAAATACTATTTGCTTATATGTGGTACGCCCAATCTTAGATCTGAACACCCTTGATCGGCTGGGAGAGGCAAGGAATATAAGCTTACTACAACAGAGTACCACAAGCTATTTAATAATGAGAGAACCGAAAGGTACCGAAAACAAACTAACTACTATCATCAATAATATTTAAAGAATAGTATTCCACATTCCGAAAAAGCAAACCCTCTTTGTTTGAGTTGGTTACGATTGCGAACTCAAATGTTCTTTTCTGTCACTTCATCGAGGACATGGATTTGCCAACGTGTAGTTTAGGGATTGTGAAAGGCGTCAACTGGTGTTTTAAGTCATAGTTACGGGAGCACCATTCGCGTGCTTCTGGCAGGACTTTACTAAAACAAAAGCTGTTTTTTAATAATCACATCTACTCACACACTGTCCTCAAATATCGAACACTACATTGTACTGCTGTTACATCACGAGGTTGTTGAAGATAGAGCTGATTGAACTGCCACTTGGGGTCAAGAACCGAATAACGTGGGTTAGTCTCGAACACGAGTCGGTCACTAAAAGTCAAGTCGTATATTTTGTGGGTCCGGAGACCCTATGTTAGAGATGAGTGCTGGAAGAATCTCATTTTGAAAACTGAGTAGGAATGACATGAATGAAGACTTCATCAACATGTAGACGCTGATTGTTTCCTTTCACGAGGTTCTCGTCGGTTGTATGTTCTTAAACATTCCGTTTTCGCATTGAACTAGATATGGTTGGGCCCACCAATTCAGTCTTGAACGAAAATATATCCAAAACGCAGTAATTTAAAATCTCATCGATCCGTGGTGTCTCACAGCTTCACCAGAAATATTAGATACTGAAGGTAGATACGATATTGAAGTCAGTTTCGACTTGAAGAAAAATCTTACATTGTTAGGGTAAACTATTTGTAGAATAAGCATTTGAATTAGTCTTCCTGGACTGCCAACGATGATAGATGTAAGAAGAGAAAACTAATATCTTCCTTCGAATCTAATAATTTATCTTAAGGTAAAATGTAACTTCATTCATGTCCCACCACATATAAATGACACTTTGCAGGAATGCACATAAAGTTTGAATTGTTTCCTTAATAAGCACATCTTTACCAAACTGAGCCTTGTGTTTTGATCTGCATAAAATTTATTTCTTTTACTGAGTTTTCTAGATCGATTTTATTCTGTGTGGTTATTACTCAGACTTCTAGTTACCCTATTATATTAATCTAATTACTTCGTTAAGACAACAAGTAAGTAAATAGATAAAGATATCGTTATTTTTCGTCAAAATTTTGTGTAAATATCCCAGGCTAACGCGTTTGAAAATTTACTCGAACTGTAAACATTTATGGACAACCTTAGTGCAATGGACTCATTGGTATGACTTTGGGTTGATAAGAAACGAATAGTCAAGGTTTGAAGTTTATCGTAATCTTACTAAGGCATAAATTCAAAAATTAAATTATAATTGCTGGGCACCTATCATTTTTATGTTTACCCAATTACAATACTTAACATATCTGTATCAATTATCATGGTAAATGAATATTTATTTTCATCGGTATATAGTAAGTAAACGTAGAATCAAAAATGAACCTATTTGCTGTCATTTGAGACTATTGAAATACTAAAATGGTTATTAATGACATGGATCTAACAAAATTTGGTTTCCCAAATCTGGAAAGACAATAGCAAAATTCTATGCATTCAAAAAATTTTAGTAGAATATACTCTATTATTTCTATATAAATTAAATAAACGTCTGAGTATTTAATTATGGTTTTGGTTATTTTATTATATAGATTGATAGCAACGACTTTTAATAAGCTTTATTATAAGGGCACACTACGTATTTCGCTTAGAGTTGTTTCTGCCGTCTAACGAAGCCGATGATATCCAAGAAAAGAAGAGAATTTATCGGACTTTCTGCACCATTAGGATATGTTGCTGGTGTTGGTCGTGGAGCAACGGGTTTCACCACACGTTCTGATATTGGCCCTGCTCGAGAAGCAACAGATGTATCTGATGAACGCCACATGGCACCGTCTAAAAGGAAGAAAGAACAGGAAAAGGAGGATGAACCGGAAGAAGATTATAATGAATCAAACTATGATGAAGTAGGACAGCTTTATGATTAATACCTATTTCTTAATTGTGTTTAAATTATTCATTGTTTTTCGATAGTTTACTGGTTATGGTGGCAGTATTTGTTCCAAAGATCCTTACGAAAAAGACGACGAGGAAGCCGATGAAATTTACAAATCTATTGACGAACGTATGGACGAGCGTCGTAAAACTTATCGTGAGAAGCGTGAAGCTGCGGAAATTGAACGCTATCGTCGTGAACGGCCAAAAATTCAACAGCAATTCGTTGACCTCAAACGCGAATTGGCTTCTGTCTCCGAAAGTGAATGGCTCAATCTCCCAGAAGTTGGTGACTCACGTAATAAACGTCAGCGAAATCCTCGCCCTGAAGTGTTCACTCCTGTTCCCGATAGTATTATTGCCAAGGGACTACAAGATTCTCAAGTATGTTAAAATTTTTTAAAGTCAGTATTATTTATCATTTTTTAGATTTCATTATTCTGATAGTTAAAAGTCAATGTAATTTTTTATTAATGAAAGTTTTTTAAAATCCAAATTGAATTGTGTCTAGAGCTGTACATTAACTGATCTTATTAATTTCTTATCAATTTCGCTATTTTAAAGTAATTCTCGTTTGATTAATGACCTGTATTAGTATTTTTATCTGCAAGTCCTTCTTTGTCATTTTCCACAATTGCAATGTCCAAAGTCAGACTTAACGTTTTCATAGCCTTCCCCAAAGATTAGTTTTCAATTGTGTACCGCTGAACTATTAGTTATGACATTTCTTTTGTATTTTCCAAATCTATAGGTATTAAATGAGTTTGGATTGTTGAAGATGGAATCTGATCATAAAATAAGTTTTATTTACATTTTGTGAATGGAATCTAAGTGCACTAAATATTGTTTGCTTGATAATGAATGCCGTTGTTGTTACGACTATCGTGAGCTCCATCTATTCTTTTCGTTTACTTTTCAACCTCGAATTTGGAAGATAATATATACCCAAAGATTGCCTTAGGTATGTTGAATTTTTTCTGAATTCTAATGTTAATATGAATCTCTTTTCATTCGTGTCTGACCAGATTCAGAGGAAATTTTAATATTTCTTGAGCGTTTTTACGCCTTTGCTTTTGATTGAAGGATAATTTGACGAAAGCACAAATTTAACTTAGTGACTTTTGCCCTCGAAAGCCAGAAGTTTCAAAAAAGATTTTGCTTGAATTCGATACCATTTTGTGCCTTTTTTCCTGATTCGTTTACATCAAGTAGCCGTTTACTTCTAACTTGTAGTTTTTAACAAACCTTCTTTTCATGTAAGATGCATAAGTTCCGAATCAAAAGTAGTTTTCCATCTAAGTATTTCAAATTGTGCCCCAATTGAACATCAGTACAATGAATTGAGAGCGCTTTAAGGTGGAGTCTGAAGTTCTATTTAATATTCTCAAATTTAATAAAATTTCGAGTTAACAATATTGGAAATTCTCCACATTATGCTTGTCTACTTGGGAAAGTTGTTTGTTTCATTTTTTTGAAACCTGTTGAAAGGTTTCTTTACTTTGAATTTCTAACTTTCACCTTATACATATGTTTGATATCTTGAATTATCTGACCTTTTTTGACTTTCATTGATCAGTACAATCGGCCGTGCTATTCCTTGAACCACGTCCGGAAGTTTTAGATCGCTTCTTCATTGGTGATTGGGAATTAATCGACACTAGTTGACTAATAATTTTGGTCTTAGATGAATACGAAACTAGATTCCGCAGAACAGCTTCTTGGTGGATTGACCACACCCTTCGGTGCTCAGACCTCCACAGGGGACATTGACATGAAGAAAATCGGTCAAGCCCGTACCTCTTTAATGGACATCAAACTCAATCAGGTCTCTGACAGTGTGTCGGGCCAGACTGTGGTGGATCCAAAAGGTTATCTCACCGATCTCCAATCCATGATTCCCCAATGCGCTGGAGATATAAATGATATGAAGAAGGCTCGTCTTTTGCTTAAATCAGTCCGAGAAACCAATCCCAAGCATCCTCCTGGTTGGATAGCTTCTGCACGCTTTGAAGAGATTGCGGGCAAACTGCAGGTTAGTTTACTGCTTGAAATGTTGCCTAGATCTCCATTTAGTAGAATGTGAAGATGCTATTTAATCTTCAGGTGGCTCGTAATCTGATTATGAGGGGTTGTGAGAAGTGCCCCAAGTCAGAAGATGTTTGGCTGGAAGCGGCTCGTCTCTGTCCTCCAGATCAGGCCAAATCAATTGTTGCCCAGGCTATTACTCATCTTCCACAGTCTGTGCGCATTTGGGTGAAGGCTGCTGAAATTGAAACGGAAGTCAAGGCTAAACGTACTGTGTTCAAAAAGGGTAGGTGTTGTATCCTTAGAAGCCTCCTAAATAACCACAAATTCCTAGAACTCATTGAAGGCCCGTAAATGGCCTAAAAGTTGAGTTTTCACCAAATTTGCAAATTTTAACCACCTACTTTTTTGCACCTTTTTACAAATGTGCCAATTTTATAAATTAATTATGATAATTTGTTCGTTTAACTTTTTCGTTTGAACTTATTATTTTAAAAATAGCAATTTATTGCCTTGAGTCAGCTCCTTGACAAATTGTTAACAAGCTAATGAATAAACGTTGGCGGCGTTGTATTTTTTTGTGAAAATCCTGGTTTGAAATTACTTTTAGCTTTAAAATGGAAATTCTGTGGTGAGATTCGGGAGGTTTGTGCTTTCACTTATTCATTATTCCACTTCGATTGAAGAATGCATGTTAGCATTTGCCGTTGCTCCCCGTGCTGTTTGCCGATTTGCTATCCTGTGTACATTGACGACGACTTTTTTTAAAGTTTCTTGAAATTGGGTACTAAAACAATAGTTGATTGTTTTGCGTCTTTGGAACAAGTGATCTCCATGATGGTATAGCATCACGTCCAACTAGTAACGCTTCATTTAACTTTTTTGAGTTTAGATTTAAAGGATCGGTCTTGTCAAATGTTTCTTGGCTGATTTGCCTTAATCATAACTGTTGGTTTTTAGACTCCCATTTCTATGACCAAGGTGTTTACACTTTATGCCCATGCAAGAACGTTATCCCGAGATTGACTGTATCGTAAGTATTTTGGGAGCATTCAGTTTATTGTTTTTATTCAGACATTGTAATTTCTTGAAAAGGCTGTATTTGGTAATCTCAAAAATCATTACTTTTTCATTGAGTGGTGATTTTAGACAATTTTCAAATAGTTGTTTAACTCTGTTGATGTTGTATACTGTTTTAAGCAGGTAAACCTTCTATTCTGTGTATCTTATCTAGTCTACGTCCATTCATTTTTTTGATATCCATCCCCATATTGCACTTAGTTCTTTTCTTGGGGAAAGCGGAAATAGCGTTTTAACTACTTTATCACTTTGTTTGAGTCTGTATCATTATTGCTTGATTTACCTATTCATGACCATTTGTTGTTTTTTTTGAAGTTGTTAATTCAGGAATGGGAAACGATTGTTGATATAAGACATTCTTAGCACTATATTGGAATATTTTCTTTGTATGTCGTTCAATAGCTCTAGAGAACGTTCCCAACTCCGTGCGTTTGTGGAAACTAGCTGTAGAATTGGAGGAGGAGGAGGACGCACGAGTAATGCTAGCCCTTGCCGTAGAATGCTGTCCAACCTCCGCGGAGTTATGGCTCGCCCTCTCTCGCCTTGAAACCTACGAACAAGCACGGGTGGTACTTAATAAGGCTCACGAAGCCATTCCTACCGAGCGTCAAATCTGGTTCGCTGCTGCCCGACTAGAGGAGGCTAATGATCAGAAGGAAAGGGTGGGTAGAATCATTGATGCTGGGGTGCAGTCTCTCAAGGCAAACATGGTGGAAATAAACAGAGAGGAATGGATTAAAGAGGCAGAGGAGTGTGAAAAGGCCAACTCAATTCTTACTGCTCAGGCTATCATGTAAGATGTGTGCTTGATAGTAGCTATTGTTCATATCTTAATTTGCCAACTAGATAGTGGTAAGTATACCCTCGTGCTTCGGCTTTTAGTTTGGAGAAATGCTTTTAAATTTAATATTTCGTCACTTTGAGTTTTATTGATGTTATTGATTCGTCTTCCCATTTCATACCTACTTTCCATATCCTCTAGCTTTAAAAGGAAGAGGTCCAAAGTGAAATTCTATCATGAGGAAGCTGTTCATTGAAAAGATCTTAAGGATTCATTCCCAACAGAGGTAGTAGTTGTTACTAACTTTGACATAAATGTCTTATTGGAAGTCTATCAAGCTCTATAGGACAAAGTGGTATGTACTTTGTCCTGATTGATACAGATAAAGCCATAAAGGAGGTATGGGCAACTTTAAAAGAAAGATATTTCCCTAACGCCATTACCTCTGCATTTCTTCGGTTATAGTTTTAACATCCCATTTTAGAGAAAACTTCATTATATTAGGTTGGCATTGCCGATTTCAAATAAGAAGACAAACTCGGAATTTTTGTTTAAAAATATAACTTTATTCAATTAGATATTGGCCGTTCTTGTCGATGACCTTTTTCCATCGTTCTGGCAGAGTAAAAATTCCCCGTTCGTAAAATGTCTGGTCTTTGCTATTAAAAAACTGAATTAGGTGTGATCCGACATCATCCGCGTTGTTAAAAATTTTACCATTTAAAGAGTTTTGCATGGAACGAAACAAATGGTAATCCGAAGGCGCAAGGTCAGGGCTATGTGGTGGGTGTGACAAAACATCCCAACCCAATTCCAATAATTTTTGCCGAGTAACCAAAGATGTGTGGGGCCTTGCGTTATCATGATGGAAAACAACACCCTTCCGCCGATTTGATAATGTCGGTCGCTTATCTTCAATTGCATCCTTCAGTTTTTCGAGTTGTTCAACATACACACTTGAATTTATCGTTTGTTCTGCGGCATGAGTTCAAAATACAAAATTCCTTTGTGATCCCACCAGACTGAGAGCATAATCTTTTTTTTGGTGAATCTCTGCTTTTGATACTGTTTGGGCTGGTCGATCTTGCTTCACCCATGATCTCTTGCGAGTAACATTGTTACAAACTATCCACTTTTCGTCGCCAGTAACTAGGTTCTTCCTCGGAAATGGATCATTCTCATTGCGTTTCAGTAGCGGCGAATCACAGATGCTAATCCGTTGCGTCAAATGAATTTCCTTTAACTGGTGAGGGATCCATAAATCAAGTTTCTTGACATAACCAAGGGTTTGCAATTTTTTTTCAATGCATGTATGCGACACATTGAGCTTCTCTGCAATATCTCGTGTTGTGCTGTGACGATTTGAATCGATAATGGCCTTGATATGGGTTTCATCCACTTCGACTGGGCGACCAGGTCGTTGTGAATTTTTCAGTGAAAAATCACCGGAACGAAATCTTTCAAACCAATTTCGACACTGCCTTTCTTTTAAGGCTTCATCTCCATATACGGCACATAACTTTTTTTGTGCTTGCGATGCGTTCTTGCCTTTTCGGAAGTAATACAATAAAATGTGTCGGAAGTGCACGTCCTGTTCTTTCATTTTTAAATTGGGATAAAACAAAACTAAAGAACTAAACAAAAAAAATTTTTACTAATTAACCTAGAAGCC